ATATATCAATCGTTGCTTGTAAATAACTGTAGAATCACATCACTAAGTGATCTTACTTACTTTTACTATCAGGTAAAATGAAATTACTAAGTAGTTCATGACACGTTCGAAGTATTAAAAAATGAGTATAATCGAAGTCTTTTGATCTTTTTAGAAATAATTATAAGTAATAATAAAGTGCAGAAGAGTTTTTCTAATGACAAATTTTAAAAATATCATTCCGCTTATCTCACGCAGAATGACCTAGGCTACAAATTAGATAGCTTGAAAGTTCTTTGTTATTATGTAGTCGTTGGCAAGGTTTTCAAAAATTACTTTATTGTTACTTATAATTATTTCTAAAAAGATCGAAAGACATCGATTATACTCATTTTTTAATACTTCGAACGTGTCATGAACTGCTTAGTAATTTCATTTTACCTGATAGTAAAAGTAAGTAAGATCACTTAGTGATGTGATTCTACAGTTATTTACAAGCAACGATTGATATATTTTTGAATATTTTCTTTTTTAGTATGAAGACGATGGTGTGAAACTTTTTCAATGTCAAGTTTGGAAACAGCATACGTAACACGGTTACACTAACACTGGTCTTCTACCGTCAAAGGAAGCAGAAACAATAAAACTCATGAAGGAACCTCCCAAGATGCCCACTTCCGATTCAAATGCTTTGTACATGGATCGATAGACCCCAGTGAAGTAGTAAATACTCTAAAAGGATTCGGGCCCATGACTCTTGAAGACCCGGTTGGTTTAGTACTAAGTTAGTACCTTTTAGTGTTTCTGAAAAACTGGTTTTCCAGAAAACCGGGTCTTCAAGAGTCATGGACTCGAATCCTTTTAGAATATTTACTACCTCACTGAGATCTATCGATCCATGTACAAAGCATTTGAATCGGAAGTGGGAATCTCGGGAGGTTCCTTCGTCAGACAACAACTTTAATACAGCAAGCACTATGTCTCAAATCAATTGTCTATTGACCCTGTATACATCTGTTTTTCTATTTTGGTAGATGTTCGTCATTTCCCTCCATCGTTATATTGCGTTTATGCGATATGTGTATTTTATTACGTGGCTGTATTCCCATTTATAGCTGCCGCGCAACTCTTTTTTGAGTCAAAATACAATTTATCTCCTCAGTGGGCAAACGCTTGCAATAGTTTAGTATACTTTATGTCAGCTATTTTATCACCATTGCTTGGCTATATTGTTGATCGTACTGGAAGAAATATTTACTGGCTTATTGGCAGTATTATGGCAACAATATTAGCTCATGCATTATTAGCATTTGTATTTATCCATCCCATTGTGCCATTAGTTATTATGGGTATTGCCTATTCAATTTTGGCTGCATCATTGTGGCCAATGGTTGCATTTCTCGTACCAAAACAATTATTAGGTACAGCATACGGTCTTATGCAGGCAATACAAAACCTTGGTCTTGCTGTTATGTGAGTATTTTTATCTGACGAGTTTTCTTACCTATATTCTAAGATAAATATAATGATAAATTCGTTATAATTATCTTAGAATACGTTATAATGATAACGTTCTTTTAGGAATATTTTTACTGGTCTCATATTGGATTCATACGGCTATTTTTTATTGGAAATATTTTTTATTGTTTCTCTGGAAATTGCATTATTAGCTGCCGCCTTTTTATATATATGGAATTCAATCAAAGGTGGAGTATTAAATGATAGTACAAGTGTGCGAGGTAAACGATTAGAAGAAATTCAATCAAAACGTGTGTCATCACGAAGCGTAAATTCGACAATTAATGCGCTTGTTAGTACAACGAGTGACGACGATCAAACGATCGAGACCTAATCTCTATTTTTACACTCTTTTGAGAATGTCTTTCATATATATCTCTCCGTACTTGGATCTTATTTTCTTTTTTCGATAGTTTGTTAAGATTTTTGTTAATAGAAATATTCTATTTGGAAGTCAAACTTCTCTTTACTCTTGTGTTTTTTGTTTATAATTTTGTTCATTGATTTTATCCAACAATTTTTTCGTATTGAACCAGATAGAAAGAAAAATATGGTTACATGACTGTCTTATTTATAATTGTATAGTGAACTTTTTGACAGCAATGATAATTCGTCGATAGTAAATCAGCATCCAAGCCTTAGAAACGAAAACGAGAGAAAGAGACATACCCTCCCCCCTGACTATTGCACTTGGAAATGTACAAACATCACCCTCGTCTTTCTGTCTAATTCTTACTTTGTATTTCATTCGTTTTTTTTCAAGCAATAGCTCATCTTGTATGAAAAGATATTTTGTGATAAATCTTGTTTTGCCTTGAGTTTGTATGATATACTTACTTTTTCTTGACAGTTGGATTCTTGCTGTTTTTCGTTATATATATATTTTCTGTTATATGGATAAAAGTTAATTTTTACATTTTCATATACCAGACTGTAATAAAGAAAAATAATCTAATGCTCAATTTTTGGTTACTAAATAGTTGTGCAAACGGTTTCTAAAATGACATCTTTCAACTCAAAGAAATATATGAAAAACAGGAGTATTCTTACGAGACATGCTGTCGCAAATGATATTTATTTGAGATAGTAGTATACTAATTGAGAATTTATTAATATCAGTTGAGTTATTTTCATTTAAGATTTCTCTTTGCTATGCTATATTCAAGTAGGAAAATTCTTTGTTATGGTTGTTTGAGTTTGCAGCGTACTATCAATATTCAACCAATGAAAATTCCATTTTTATTACAACGACAACTATTTTCGTTAAAAACAAGAGTTACAACACCGGAATTGACATTTTGTTTATTTTCCCCTTTAAAACAACGGCGTCATTCATATTTAAATTTTCTTTCTAATCCTCCTAAGCGCGTATTTTCATTTTCGGCTTTTTGTTTGCAACATATTAAATCCTCTACGCCAACTCAAACAATTATTGATGATACAGCTAATGATCCATCGATATCAAAAACACCGTTTATCTTTTCTCCTAAATCTAATGATTTAAAACAAAAAACAAATTCGTCATCGTCGTCAAATGATGATACATCAGATGAACAAAAAGAACGTGCTGCTCGAGCCGCTCTTGATGTTAAAATGCTCAAATATACCGCTTATTTTCTTGGCGTGTGGCTTGTAAGTACACTAGGTTACATCGTACTTATTTGGGGTTCACCACAATTAGATGAAGAAGGACGTGTCATATTCGATGATTATAGTCATTTGCCAACATGGAAGCAATATTTAAAACGTTCATCTAAAGGTGTTGTTGATTATTGGCAAACAATTAAAGATCCGACTAGTGATAAACTATTGCCAGATCCTCTTCACCCATCAATTCAACCATTATACACATTAGTTATTGAAATGTCAGGAATACTATTGAATCCAGAATGGACATATGGAACAGGATGGAGATATAAAAAACGTCCAGGACTCGATTATTTTCTTAATGAAGTTGGTTACCCAATATATGAAATTGTTATTTATACAAAAGAAACAACATGGGTATGATTAATACTGAAAAAATAAAGAATAATTTCCAGTAGAGACTGTTATTTAAATGTTTTAGGCAGCAAACTCGGTTATTGATACAATGGATGTAGGGCATAAAATTATGCATCGGATATTTCGGGAAAATACACGTTTTATTAAAGGCACACATATTAAAGTAAGAATAAACTAGAACAGTGCTACTATAAATGATTAATAATTCTTTGTTTCTTTTAGGATTTATCATGTTTGAATCGTGATTTGAAAAAGATTATATTTTTGGACTGGGACGAAGCTGCTTATTCATTACAGCCAAGAAATGCTTTACATCGTTTGCAAAAATGGGATGGTGACGACAATGATCTAACATTACTTCACTTAGCTACTTTCTTAAGAAGTATGAGCTAGAGTGCATATTTAATCAATAAAATATTATTTTTATTCTTTTAGTGATTGCTGCTAGTGGTGTAGAAGATGTACGTGATGTACTTGATCATTATAATCAAGAAAATAATCCATTGGAAGCATTTTCATTTCGACAACAACAATTATTAGTGAGTTTTGTGTGTAAAAGACTATATTTAGTTTAAACTTTTTATTTAAAATAAGAAAAAATAACTAGTAATGTTCACAAGTAAGTGGAGAGACACTCATTATTTCGTATAGATAAAAAAACACAATATAAGTAACAACAAGGGTATCAGAAAAAAAGATAAAAGGAAATAAAAAATTTACTTTCTATTTTAAGATATGTTTTTGTTTCTCTAGGAAGCAGAAGAACAAAAACGTCAAGCAGCGTCAGCAGTGGCCGCAATACCAACAAAAAGTTTATTTTCTAGCTGGAAACGCTTTTGACAGTATATTTGTATTACATTGATTTAAAATTAAATCGTATATGATGAAATTCTGAACTAAGAAAAATTCGTGAATAGTCGTTTAGCATCTTTTTTGTCATACAGATTTATGCACGTATGATTTTTGATTGAAAAGAAACGTAAAATGTGTTTTTCTCAGATTTTTGTTTCTATTGTTTGTTTTTTTTGAAAAAAATTAAAAGAATTTGTAATAAAAAAATTTATCATATGTTCGGCAGTTTTTATCAAACGAAGCACGAAAAAACCGGCGACACTCCATAATTACAGTGAAAAATACCCCGTTTACAGAAGAGAAATGAAAAAAGAATGATAAGCGCTAGTTTATTGCGTTTAGTGAATAGAACGACTTCCATGAATATGAGTAAGGCTCTCATAAACATTTTTTGTTTTTTCAGATAAAATGAATGTACTTGAAGTTCCACACGAATTTTTTGACGTTGAAACAAAAAATTTAGAATATTTATATCAAGCATTTTGTAATTATGTCTACTTAGGACAATGGGAATTATCTTGTGTTTGTCTGGAATTATTGTTTAATAATCGTTTTCAATTGAAAAATAGTTTAGAACAATTATTGATTGAAATAATCAAAAATCCAGCATCATATTGGTAAAATAATCATAAAAAATTTATTATACGCTTCATTTGTATTTGTTTTTAGTATCGGATCAAATTCTGTTTCTACACCATATCATTTTGCTTTATTACTTGTACAAGAATGTCAGAATAAACTTTATCTCGAAACGGTATGTTAATATTTCACTTTTACTCAAAATCTACATACTAATCAAATATGTTTAATTCAGAATCTAATCAATACATTGAAAAATGATGCAGTGTTCAGATATTTGTTGGCTGTCGGCAAAATAAAACCCAGTGTAGATGTTGCTCAGGTAAAAAAGGATTAAACTATATGCAATCTTAGATAGAAAAAAAGTAGAATATATTAACTTTTAATAAACATTCATAAGGAATGTCAAGACAGAATTGTAGCTTATCAAGTTCAACTTGTGGTTTTATTAAATATTATATGTCTTTCTAATCATAAATTTGAGTTTAGATTGACAGTGAATCAGATGTTAATGAAATACCTGTTTAAAAAAACGAACTTTTCTAGAGACGTGTGTTTTGCTAATTGCTACGTTAATTCAATATGTTATTTCTTATCTTTTAGAATTTTTATCGTTTACACCAAATTTATGAACAGTTAAAAAATGAAGATGTTGCATTAAAATTCGATTTACAATATTTATTGAATGATGCCATGTCTAATTTTTTAGAACAATTATGGTTATCTGAAACATCACGTGCTTATTCAATTATTAAATCACTCTATTGTAAATTAACTCATGAATTTTTTTTACATAGTCATGAACGAGCGTTAAATAATTGTATAAATAAATTAATAATATTAAAAACAACAGATTCTGATCTACAACAATGTTTATATGATCAATTACTTAGTTTACATCTCTATGTTTGTGATTCATATTTAAAATTAACAATGAAACAAACATTGAAATTGATTCTCATATACGTTGTAAATAATACATTGAATGAAAATTATTACAATTTAAAATCATTGTATAAATCTACAATTATTAACGGTAATTTATGCAAATATATTTCAACATTAGAAGCGGAACATCGTATGACTATGATGATAAATAACGATAACAATTGTATCAATAGTACATCTATTATAATGCATTTTTTAAATAAAAATTCTTTTCATCAAAAGTTGTTTTGGAATGATTTATATTTGTACATATTAGAAAATGGAAAAGATTTAGGTTTATGTGTTGTAGTACGTATATTACAAAAAAAGAAAAACAAAAAACAAGAATATTTTTATAATGATCTTATTTTTTTTTTCTTTTTCTCTTCTATATAGCAAGATGCACTATCAATGATTCAAAATCGAGATTATTCATCATTTGATCAATTATTAGGTATCAATGAATTTTCATCATTACATATAATAATATTTTTAATTTGTTGGACAAATGTGCGAACATTGAATGATGCAATTGTTTTACAAGATTCAATTATGTCATTGGTAAAAAAAAAGAATTTGATCATGTTTGATAATTCACAAATATTTTGTTGTTATTATTTTAGAATATCAAAAGTTCGAAACTCACCAAATGTCTTCAATTATTTCAAAATCATATTGAATTCATATCATGGCTACTTACTGTGAGAAGGTATACACGATGATTCAACTTATCAGTTTATTTTTATTCAGAGCTGAGCAAGTCAAGTTAAAAATATCTCAAATCCAAGTTAAATCTGACTTGACTTGGTCGCTCTAATTTTATTTAAATGCTCTATTATACGAGTTTTAGTCATCATTTTCGTTTTTCTAGGGCCGATTTGTAAGTATTCGTTGCAAATAATTACTTGTTCCTTATGTTATAACAAACGCATTGTTATGAATCAAAATTGATTTTGGACGTAAATTAACAATAAAAAAACCAACAACACATAAAATCATTCTTCCACTTGTGATTTCCCATCTACTGTTAGGAAAGAATGAGGAGCATAAAATCTTTTTCTTCTCATTCCTTTATTATGAACAAATACCAGCTGACCTGCTAAAATTACTTCACTATTGCAAAAACATACAAGATCATATTACCAAAATGTTAGAAATAAATGTGAGATACTTGCAAACAGCCTAATAAATAGTATAGTATGTTAGTTAACTGAAGTTTGTTGTGAAGAGAACTGATGAAAAGGTTTCAAATTTTGCCTCGTCGTTATGATGACAAAATTTTTCTTCGTTCTAGCGTGTCTATGTTGCTATTTGATTTAACAAATGAACTCATTTTTCTCGTCTGTTTTTATTTTTTTTCTTCTAATTAGACAGACCGATGGCATGTCAACGTTGTTAAATATATCAGATTTACTATCATTTTTGCATGCAAATTCTCCATTATCATTGATTATTCGTTATTTGAATATTAATTTAATTAAACCAGAAATTATTTTAGAACAATTACGTAAAACATGTGCCGATATTGATGATGATAATCCGAAATTAGGTGATACATTGACGAAAAAAAAAGTTCGTTTTACTGATGACCGTAATAGTTATCAACTCTCATTATCACTATCTCAAACAATCTCAACAATATTATTCACTGGTTATTTATCTATAGCAAATGTATTACAAATAATATTACCACCATTAACACAGATAAGAAATGATGATTCAATAAAATTAATCAAATCATATTTAAATCAACTTTATCCTCTACGTTTTCGTTTAGAAATATTAGAAAATATATTTTCATTAATATTTTTACAACAAAATCAATTAAAAATAGATGAAACAATTATAACAACAACAATGCCCACTACTAGGGAACAAATATCATTGTCATCATCAGATAAATATATTTCCGCATCGATACGTAGTCATATATCAAATGAAAGTTTACATGTATCAATTACTAGTAGAAATAATTTATCCTTGGATGGACAAACAATTTCTCAAAATGAAGCAGATGATGATGATGAACATTTGTCCATCTATAGTAGTTCACTAAGTTCGGTCAGTAATTTAACGGGTAACATGTCATATTTGTACAAAAGTGGTTATTTGATAGATCAGAATGTACTCTGTGAAATATTATTGATGTTGAGAGATCAAATGAATGAATTACGAACATTATATCAAGCAATACAAAATAAATCGATTGATCGAGAAACAAATGAGCTAGAGACAAGTTTAGATCAATGTTTTATTTGTTCAATTAAAACTGACCAATTTTATGGACGATTAGTCAAATTAAATACAATAATTAGTGAAATATTATGGAGATATCAGTTGTTGATACCAACAACAGTATCATCGCCAGATACCATTGAAGAAAAAAATGACATTATGTTTACGTCGAAAAATGAAGAGAGAACACAAATATTTTTAAAAAACTTAATTATACCTTTACGTAAGTAACATCGATTGAAAAGTTCCTATATTTATAGATATTACAAAAAAATTTGTAAAAAAAGAAAAATTAAAACTGATATCTTAGATTAGATGTCATGTTATTAGACGATAATTTTTAAAATAATTTTTCATTCACTAAGGCATGTTTTTCTTCAGTTGTTGTCATTTTGTTGTTTTAGCCAAAGATCGGCATAAAAGGCGTCGTAAGCGTCGTACACGAAGATCAGGAAGCAGTAGTTCCAGGTAAAGTCCAGTATATTAATATACTATCCACTATAATTTCATGTTTTTTTTTGTTGTTGTAGCATTTCGTCCTTGCAAATGCAAATATCAGCCAACGGAGATGTATCCAAAATATTATCAACAAGAGAAAATTTATTAGCAATTTGTTTGAAAGAAGAAAAAATGGAGGCGGCTAATGAAGTGATTCGAGTATGTTTACTAATTGTTAAACCATGTATGAATTTACTAAGTAGTTGAATATTCTTTTTAGATATTTAAAATGGAATCACATCCATTAGCTATCGAAGCACGTTTTAGTCAATTATTTCGCAATACGATAGCAAAATTAAATTCAGCTTCGTCTTCTCAAGTATTTGTTGTTTCTAACACATCGCCAACGATAGTTGCTACATCGTCATTGAACACTTTGGCAGAGTTGGCATCGTCAGCACTTGGTAATACATCCATCCAGACAGATGTTGAACAATTAGTAGAGTCATGTACCACAACATTATCGACGATACCATGTTCTGCGTATGTTGAACAGGAACATTATGTTGCTCTAACATTATTTGATTTATCGCTAAGCATGAACTCTCTCCATGTAACTAAGACTCTGATAGATATGGCACTAAATTATTTACCACTGTTTAACACCACTCAGCAACAACAACAACAACAACATCAAAATAAAACAAATAAATCAATAAAAGATATGATAACGAATTATAGTCAGCTGTGTGATGCTTATCTATTTCAACAAAGTCATCAATCACCATCAACATTATATCCAAAAATGACAACTGTTAGTGAAATGTTATGTGATGCAACAATTCCATTGAATAGTACTAAAGCATTGAAAACAATTCAATATTTAACTCGACTCGATCAATACTGCAAAGTAAACTATTATCAACAATTCATTGAAGGACAGAGTTCATTGGTAAATTTGACTAAATCAGCAGCAGATTTCTTTGATAATGATCAATTAAAGATAAACATTCTCAGTTTAATCAAAGATAATACAAATTCATCAAAATTAGAGAGAATAAATTACTTTTCAATATTTTACTCTTATATTCAACGTTTTCGAAATTTATTAGAAAAATTTCCAATATCAACACCATCTCAGTCGACTATCAATGAAACGTATTTACTTCAAAATTCACCAATGTCCATTATCAGTCGTATCATATCTAAACCTGATATTGATTTGAAACAATTACAAATTAGAACTGCTGATCTCAATATTGATATTTCATTGACTGTTACTTTGAATATTATACGTCCACTTCTCTCAACTAATACAGATGATCAAATACCACCACGTACACTTCTAATGGAACCAATTGATATTTATTCATACAAAAAACAAACAACTAAACAATTACCTAGAAGACATTCAACATTTTTAAAAAGATTAATGGATCATTTAGATGACATTCAACCAAATGATGAGTTAATTAGTTATGAATCATCATTAATCAAACATCCCGATAATATTGTTCGATCGTTATTAACAAAATTAATTGATTCTATTCGAAGTAAGTTAAATTAAAATGAATAAATTTAATCTAACTTAATCTGTTTTATAATTTATCTTTTAGAAACGTTGAATTCATTATCACCGGTACGTACATATTTTTCATTCGAACATATTGATAAATTAATTGAAACAAATGATTATGATGATATTTTAACATTATTACCATTATTAAGAACATTAGATTTAAATTTATTGATAAATAATGAACAACGTTTATGTTTTTTTATAAACTTACATAATTTATTAACAATTGTGTCTCATATTGAACTCATACGATCAACTGTTGATCGTACCATATACTCAAAACCATTTCGAAATGAATTAGAACATTTATTATTTGATATGACAACACGTATTGATATTGGATGTTTAAAACAATTATCATTATTTGAATTACGCTATTTTATATTACGTAATGGTCTTAATCCATCAATTTCATTATTAGAAAATTTTGATTTTCAATTAGATTCCAATGATCCTATATTACATTATGCACCACAAGTTCATGATACAAAATTATTATTTATACTTACAAATTGTACAAAATCATCGGTACCAATTATGATATTAACACCAGAACTCATTCAAGAACAATTGTATCATGCTGTCAGTGATTATGTTAATAATTGTGTTGTATATATTATGGATAAACAAATTTTATATGTTCCAGCATTAGTATACGAACAATTTATTAATAACACAACAAAACGATTAGATAAAGTTGAGTTATTCAATTTTATTTCAAAATATACGCATAATGATGACTTAAAACAATTTTTAAAAGAAGCAATCGATACAGAAACATCAGAATTAAATGGTATGAAATTTTAACAGTATTTCTATCGAGTTTTATGTCTTTTCGGACTTCTGTTTTACTAAAAGGATCACCATTGTATCACAATACAGGGTGGTCCAAAAATGGCTTTACCGAGGTAAACACACATTATTCTGTATATGTTTATTTTGGTTGAGCTCGTTTTTATACCAAAAAATTTCCCGTTGAATTCTCTACAAAAACATGTATTGACTATTCTATTGCAAAATCCGAAGGTGCAAACTGTCATGAGAAATCGTGAGAAGTAAAAATAAACGTAGTTAACAGTTTTTTATAGTATTATCTGCTAAAAGTTTGTGAGAGAGGAAAGCTGAAGTAAGGACCGTGTACGCCTCAAAAAAACTGTATTTTCCATCTATAATTTAAATAATTTTCAATTAGAATTGAGGGCGCAAGAATTCATTTTTTTTTGCCAATTTTTCAAAAAATGACGACTTTTTACAAAAAATTTGAGTCTTCTAATAAACAAATAGAAATTAGTCAAACTTGATCCATTCAGGTTGATTTTTTTAATTTTGAAAACAAATGATTAGTCGTTATGATTGGATCTCTAAGGTTTGGGAAAAAAGCTGTTTTGGTCTACTGCGCAAATAAAAAGGTAACAACTTTTGCTATTTTCACTTGATTGCTGAGAAATTAATCTCTGCGTCGGATATTCAGATTCAAATGATTTTCACTCTACACGCCGAGAAAGAGCGTATTTAAAACTATACTGAAGCTGTGGTTTAATGCTTGTGAAACCATTCGAAAAAGTTTCGCTCTCTTTGAGAAAATACGTTTATTTTTTCTACATTTTGGTACTTCTCACGATTTCTCATGGCATTTTGCACCTTCGAATTTTGCAACAAAATAGTCAATACATTTTTTTATAGAGAATTCAACGGGAAATCTTTTGGTATAAAAACGAGCTCAATCAAAATAAACATATACAGAATAATGTGTGTTTACCTCGGTAAAGCCACTTTTAGGCTACCCTGTATTATTCATTTCATTTTTTTTCTGAAAAAAAACGGAAAGTTTGTATCTGTGCTATGATAATAGATTGACTATGTGACAATTTAATGATGAAACATTTTCTTTTTACTTTAGATTCTACCACCATCCCTCAATCGTACAAAATTCAAATGTTATTACCCGATAATGAATTTGCTCTGAATCTTGATATTCAATGTTGTTCACCATTAATAAAAAGTTTCATAAATACAAAACATCGTCGTACAAACTCATTACCATCATATACATCATCTTTACCATCCTCATTCAATGTTTTAACAAAACATCCATCTTCACATGATTATCATCTGATTGATTTACGTACAATTGAATTTGTCAAAGAAAAATGTCCAATTCTAGGAGAAATATTGAATATTCATCTACTAAATGTAGTTGGTAATACTGATGTTATTTTATCATCGTCTCCAACATTTGCACCACTTCAGACATATTTTTCATCATTACTCTTACAACAATCAATATTAACTGATGATTGGTTTCGTGCAGTAGTATTAAACGATTTATCAAGTCAACATGATCTATTATTACAATTATGTTCACAATTATCATCTGAATCAAAATGGTCAACAATAATTAAAATATTAGAATCTCTATTACCATCATTTATTGTTCATTCACCTTATTTTTCAACATTATATGATATTTCGTTAATTAATTTAACACGTCAACAAACCACTGAACAATCTTATCGTTATATAAAAAAAATAAAAGATTTTCGTCTATTAATACGTTCAACATTAACATTTATGTATAAATATAATATTAATGTTTGTATATCATTACTTGAACTTTGTTTAACAGCATCTAAAAATCAAAATGAATATACAATATTAATACAAACAAAATTAGATGAAATGTCCATTTATAAAGTATTATGTCAATGTGCAAAAATTTTATTTGATAAATATTTATCACGTTTAGCATCAGATATATCAGCAAGCGATGATTTATCAGAATTAGCAATAAAAAAAACATCTCAAAAATGTTTAACATGGCAATCGGCTAAAAGTGAATCATTAAGAAATTCATCAGCTGTTGCCGATCTTTTCATATTAGAACATCAATATGATATGGCACATAAATGGTATAAATATTTGAATATAAACAATAATATTATTAAAATGAAATTAATTGAAGAACATATTAGTTGGTTATTAAAAGAAAATGATAGCGATAAAATAATAAATGTTATTCAAATGATTGAAAATTTAAATGATAAATGGAAATTATGTTCAGAATTAATTTATGACATAATAAATGAACATTCAACGGATAATAATGAACTATCTTCAAAGTAAGATATTTTTTTTCGTTTGAAGAATATACTTTTCTCTTTCTGTTGATAGATGGATGATATTACTGTAATAATTATTAAATTCTTCAATTTCATTTTTTTCATTTTAATATTCTAGTCAACTACAAACTCCATTATCAATACCATTTGCTCGACATTTTGTTAAATATCGTTTAATTCAATATATATTAGAAAATTTTAATGATGATTATTTTATTAGAAAAGATTCTCAATTAAATAAATCAAAATTACAATTACGTTTATCCGGTCTATCATTATTTTTCAATTGTATACCGTATGAACAAACTGATTTTTACATTCAATTAATTGAATATCCATTACTAATAATTGAACAATTAGTGATGAATGCTTCAATTGATATACTTAAAAAAGCCATAGAACATTTGAAACAATTTATTCAAAAATATGGTGAAGAGAGTTTAAAACTTGAACAAAAACAAATTGATCAATTAATTGAATATTATGCAAAACAGACCGTTCAATTACACGTAGTAAATAATAAACATAAGAAAGAACAAATAATAAATGATGATTCAACTTTAAATTCTACACAATTACAATATGCTTATCAAACAAAACATCGTAGCCATTCTGGTATACAATTTTCAACACCATTAGAACGAAATGATCTGTCAAATTCGATGATATTGTCTCCAGTATTATCACAAATAAGATCAGCTAAAACATCAGCTGACTCTTCACCATTCTTACTACCAAATACTAATCATAAACGAGAACGTAATAGTAGTCAAACATCAAATTCAATAAAACCAACCTTAAAATATTCAAATGATAGTTCTTCAACATCATCTTCATCGTTAAATGCAAGTCCTATACCAAGCAATATGATACCAATAATAAGTTCACCACTGGCTACTACAACAGATTCCATACCATCACATTCATCATCTTTTTTAAGTAATCTATCATTATCATTTTCATCAAGATTTTATGATCGTCAAACACCACCAATAAAACAAACTTCTCAAAAAACAAAAACTGTTGCTGAAATAAATGATGTCAAAAGTTCTACTTTTATTATGCCACTTGTTGCACCACCAAAAGAACATTGGACACAGGATGAAAATATATCGATCTGTATGTGTTGTAAACAAACACAATTTTCCATGTTTAATAGACGACATCATTGTCGAAGGTAAGTTGAAATAAATAATTAATAAATCTATTATTATTTATCGAATAATATATCCGTTCAGATGTGGACGTGTTGTATGCAAAAATTGTTCAGAACAATTGACAATGATTGAGACAAAACTTGAACGAACATGTAAAAGTTGTGTTGAACAAATAACTATACAAAATCAACAATTAACACGAACAAAAAGTAAAGATCAAGAATATTTGAATAATATGAGTAAACAAACAGAAGATCGACAACAACAATCTTTATATCGTACAGATATTCGAACTCGTTCTCTTCTCGCTTTTGAACGTCCATCCATTGCAAATATCTATTTAGATAAAAAAAATTTAATTATAAAAGATGATTCATCATCAATATCATCTACTGATTATTTATTATTTGGTAATAGTCCAATGGAGAATAATACATTTCAAACACCATTATCAATGTTAAGTTCAAATTTTAATATAAGTCCATTATCAAAACACAATACTCGTACACGTATTGCACGAACAAATTATCAACAACGAACAAATACATCATCTTTATTGACAAAACAAAATTCAAATAAATTATTTTTATCAAAAAATAAAAAAGATATAAATAATGAAGAATTAAAATATCAATTAACACAAAATTTACATGATAATAAAATTTTACGTGAAGAATTTCGATATGATCAATCACCAAGTATCTCATTATGTTTATCTATTATTGAATTACATAGTGATCAATATGAAATTGGTAAATTATTACTTAAATTATGTGAAGAATTATCTGATCAATTAAGTAGTACAACAAATGGAAGAAATCAAGAAATTGATTATGGATTAGTATTAAATATAATTAAAAATTTATTATTAACTGCTAAAATGAAATTAATGTCAAATAATACAAATTTATTTGCAACAAATCATACTCTATTATCATCTTGTGATATGTATATTAATTTAATTGATATATTAAATCGATTAAATACAGCCAATTGTGATTTACCAACATTAAATGATTTATTACAACCAGAAACATTACGAAGAATTAGAAATAAATTATTAGATGATGAACGATATCAATTAGCAATAGATATATCAACAAGATGTAATCTAGATAGTTATACAATATGGATACAATGGGGAATGGCTTGTCTTCATATTGGACAATATACTGAAGCACGAAAAAAATTTGAAAAATGTTTAAAAAAAAAACAAATTGTATCATTAAATGGTGGTGGTAGTGGTGGTGATGGTGGTGGTGGTGATGATGATGATTTAAAACATTATACACAACGAAATATATCATTAATAACAAATACAAAAAGTCAACAAGAAAAAATATTAAATGATATAGTTAATTATTTAGAATCATGTTTACCAATAAATCGTTTAATAAAATTAAATTATATTTTACAACAAGAACAACGAAAACCATTATTATCTATTCATGGTGGTTTAAAATATGATAAAAATTTATCATTAATGCCTAATATTAATAAACAACAATATAATCAACAACAAAGTGAACATTTTGATGAAATTCTTTATTATTTAACAAATTATGGTAATGATTCATTAATAATTGCATTCTATTTAAGACATAATTTATATGTATCAGCATTTCATTATTTTCTTAAAAATAAATGTTTAACACAAATATTTTTAGATGATATTTTTTTACCATTATTAAAATGTGGACAAATTGAACAATTACTTAATTTTATACAAAATAATAATAATAATATAAATATGAAAAAATTATTTCAATTACATTTAAAACAAACATCTATTTATTTAAAAGAACAAAAATATTTTCATTCATTAAAACAATTACAATTATTTATGAATGATTATTTAAATGTTTCTTATACATATATTGATTTATATTTATATAATCGTAAAAATTATAAAGATTTATATGAAAATAGATTAGATTTTTTACAAAAATCTTATGATTATTTTGAACTTTATCAACAACAACAACAACAAAATAAAGATTTTTTAATTATGACATCAAATAATGAATCAACATTGGCACGTGTTCATAGGTATTTCAGAAAATAATTTTAATTTTTATATTCTAATAAATCTATTGTTGAGTGAATTCTATAATAGTCTTGATAGTTTATTTTAAATCATTTACAAAATGAATCATGTATAGTCATAGTCTTTTTAATCAAATAAATTGAAATAGATGATATAAATGGTCTTAAATTCACTCATAAAAAATAGTTTTAACAAAATATGATACCATCTTGTTTTAGTTATAAAGCAAAAATTCTTTTACAAATCGATGTGACACGTTTTATTTATACACAAATTCAACGTTTAGATGGTAATGATGGATCTAATATATTTGTTAATTGTCCAACATTATTTGCTAAAAATGATATTATTGTTGAATTACTTGTTGGTCTACTAATAATATCTGATACAGTGACCAATGTTTTTAATCTTATGAATAGAATTATTAAAGTAAATAAAAAATTAAAATTTTATTTTATTTTTAATAATTAAAATTTATTTTTAATTTAGGAATTTACATTATCACCATCCATTGTATTTACATCGTGTGCAAAACAAATTGGTAAAAAACATGATTATCGTTTAATTGCACAACTATTAACATGTTTACGTGAAAATGGATATAATGAAACGAAACTTCATGATGAAATTATCGATAGTTGTATACGACAAATAGGTTCAGATGTTGAACAGGTATTTTAACAATAGTATTAATCTATTTGTAACATATTATTAACATATTTTTTGTCTTGTAGAGTAAGGAACAAGATGGATTAATTCAAATGATAAAAAATGATGATGTTCGAGTGAGTGAAAATGACTATATCAGATTAAAATTCAAGAGATAAAAAGCATACTCTATTAAATGTGTGCAAATGAAGATAAAAATGAGAAAATTTTAGCCAGTTTTGACTTGAAATCTGATTAAATAGAAAAACTAAATTTGCCAGTTACTAAAGAAAAGATTTATTTCTAGTTTATATATACAAAAGTTTATATTTACAAACGTCAATCGTTTTTAAAGGTAGCGGATGAAGTGAGAAAAGTTAGTAGATCATCTATTCATTCCTACTTTTGTATGTTCTATACGGTTGGAAAATATTCATCAAATAATGAAAATCTAAAATAAAGTGACGCTCAAGAACGATCCATTGTTTTTTGCAATTTTCTCCTTCAACTATCATATTTCAAGGGCATTCAAAGAGTAGTAGTGTGGATAATTGAAACTTTGACGAGTTATCGAAGATGTATCCATTTGTTATATTCAGACTTCAGTAGAAAAGTTTCATATGTGCTGAAGTAAAAAATTCGATTTTCCGAAAAACCGAACTTGAGAGACGATAGAAAAATTTTAGCGAGAAATCTAGAAAAATAGGACAAACAATTCTCATCAGAACGAGATGCTTTCGAACTGTATACGATCTTTCATTGACTAATTATGATGATTTGAGACTAGGTATGCACAGGTTATAGGCGATAAATTTCATCTTTTTTCTGAAACGGATTCCATGAAAAGTATGCGTATTAAAATTTTTTTAACAACTGGGTTTTGTAGAGCAAACATTTTTCTACAAGATGAGCTCTGATGGAAGCCTTCATGTTTTCTATTTCTGCTGCAATCGCTTTTTGACGAAGAGCCCTAAATCAGTTATAACTGACAATAGGACTTTTAAATCTTTTTTTTCATAACCACTCGATCAAGCCGAAAAATACGCTCATAACTCATGTTGTAGGAAAATGTTCGCTCTAAAAACCTCAGTTGTTAGAAAAAGTTTAGAGAATTAATTTTTGTTGAAGATTTTTTTTTTTTGCAAAAAAAGAGCGCACAATTTTAACCTGTTATAGTCGGTACATGTCTAATCGAGACAGCAGTCCAACTCAGTGTAGTACAATGACATTTCCATGATAAGAACGCTCAGAAAGTATGTCATTTTGTAATCATCATAAGTACGTAGTCTATGAAAGGTTGCATGAAGCTCGTAGACGTCTGAAGGGAAGTTTTTATTCTATCTTTTCATATTGACTGGAAAAGTATTTTTTTACCGCTTGCAGTTCGATTTTTAAGAAAAGCCAATTTTAGCTTCAGCATAGTCGAGCATTTTTGAATATTGGATACAATTAAACTTTTAAACGTCAGTTTATGTCTTAATTAGGAATATTCGAGTAACTTCTCGCGTACTCAAAAATTAAAGAACCACAGAACCATAAAAGTTAACTCAAAGGGGATAAATTTAATATAAGTTAAGGGGACCCCCGTCAGAAAAAAACTTTGTTATCTTACATTCGATTTCGATGGGGCTTCCAGTGACTAATGCTTACTGTCATACGAGTTTATGCTAAGAATTTGAAATCGAAACATTGAAGGGCTGCCGAGTTATTGCATGACAAAGGGCAGAATGGGGCTCTAGGCAAAAGCGTAAAGGCTTTTTTGTTGGAAGGTGCAGAAAGCTGTGAATGGTCTCAAATGAAAGTATACACCTAAATCTGAAATTTTGTTCGCAGCGATTTTTGAATTTCGCTTCCGTTTATTTTCTACACGTATTTTAAATTAGAGCTCTGAAAATAACCCTAATCCGGGTTAGGGATTAGATCCCTAAAATCACCGCGAATGAATCTTTAGATAAATGTCTTAGCTTTAAAATTAAAAAAAATGAAGGTTTTACGATGAATCGTCGAGAAGTTGATACAATGTTACACCGCTAAAACCATGTTCTGAGAAAAACGTCATCACTTCATTAATTAAGAAAGATAAGAAGATAAGATTGACGATTCTGTGAGTAAACTTAGAAAATTTCTATCAAAATCTTTGACTATTCACTCTACACATGTGTACTTTCTCTACAGCATGTATATAGACTCCATGTAGAATTATACACACTCGAAAACTTAAAAATACGATAGCGACAACAGGTATTTTGGGATAAGTGAAGCTTTTTATCTCTTAGACAGATCACTATCTGGATAAATAGTGATTGTTCATTATACGAAGACTATTTTTCTAGATCAATGCCTACATATTTGTTGGTAAATTACGTGCGGCCTATTTAATAGCAATACGTTTGGGAAAAGAAGATACTGTCCGATTAATATTGAACAATGCTCAACGAACAGGACAAACAGCTGTGAAAGATATTTGTTCAAAATGGTTAGAAAATCGTACGAAGGAACAATGATACATTAAAAATTTTTCTAAATCTAGTTGCTGTTTTTCAATATACGCGCAAAATTTTTGTTTTGTTTATTAGAGAATGCTTTATTTTGTTAAATCAGCTATGTTTTTTTCTTGACTGTATAAACGATTCTTTCCTTAGGCTCACTCCTTGTGATACATTATATATATATATATTTATTTGTTTTATTGTCTTTTGAAAATAAATTCCGTTATTGATCGATCGATGACGGATATTTATTATATCTATTGTGTTTTGAGAAGAAAATATTGGTCAATTGCTGACGTTAATCTTGTTTTTTCAATATATTTTTTATTTTACATATTATTCTTCAGAAAAAAATCACATAGTGATCTTTTTGTTCTGCTGTTATTTTTTGATGTAAGAATTTCTATATTTATAAAAAAACACATCGAGTAGACGATAAAATTTCTTTTACTAGAAGATAGTACAGTAGACTGACGATCTTCAGTTTTCACACAACAAATTAAATTCGTTTTACGAAAAATTCAAAAGTGTTGATTTCAGATATGTTGTTAAATCATTTATCAAAATTTCATATTCAAACATTAGATGGTATGTTATTATATCCATTTCATATTATCAAAATTAGCTTCCATTTTAGCACCAATCGATATTGAACAAATAAAACTGTTGAATCAATCATTAGAAAATGAAATTAATGAAAAACAAAGTGGAATTTATGATTTGTATCAAGAAAAATCGGCGAGAATTGAAGTTGCTGATGATAAATCAGCATCATTAATTAGTAGATTCGAACAATTACAAGATAAACGAAAAGAATTACAATTACAAATTGACGTATGTATTAAACTGCTAGTTTTGTTTTCTACTTTATAGTCTTTATATCTATTTCGTCTAGGAATGTTCTCGAATTGAAAGTCAAGCAAAAAATGTGAATAGTAATTACCATCAAATCCATCGTTTAGATCGTTTTATAGATGGAATAAAACGTTTAATTGAATTAGAAAATGTGATTCTTGGTAAATAGAGAAAATACATGTTTTTGTGAAACAATGAAAGACACTAGTTAGATGAACTTATTAACTATTCGAAGTTTTATATTTTTTAAGTCTTCCTTACGAAATAGCAACAACATTTTTCCTTTCAATGAACCATGTATTAAGTACATAGGCGGTGGAACCAAATCAACTTAGGGTAGACCCAAAACATTTTCCTAAATGAGGGTGAAAAAGAGGGAGAGGAGAATGACGTAGCGTTGTTACATAAAAAAATGTTGGAAGAGATCAAAACCAATATAACCCATGTCGCACTTTTTGTCGTAATACCGCCGGTAGGACTGTAAAAGTTTCCGTTACTTCTTCGGCTGTTATCGACAACGCTGGCTGTAGATGCTGAGGTCTCCAGCGACTTTAAAAACCGCAGTTACAAAACATTGAAGTTTAGCTCAGTTGACTGGCACGTGTGTGCCAATCAAAACCATGCCATTTATGGAAGATTCAACAATTTTAGTGAAAAACTAGCGATTTTGGAAGCCATTTTAAACCGCTGCGTAATATCTCTGCTATACATAAAAAATAGTTACCACAAAGTTAACTAACTGATAGCTACCGTTATTTCAACGGTAACTGGAAACGCAGTTATCGTTAAAGTAACGGTAACTCTCGTTTCAGTTACCGTTGTTTTAACGCTAACTGATAAGTTAGTTACCGTTATTTCAACGGTAACTGTATTTTCAGTTACCGTTAAATCAACGCAACGGGAACTTTTACAGTCCTAACAATTTTCCTGTCCGGGAACCTCATTGCGCTGCATGTGCAGTGCACATTGTGCACCGCAAAAAGAAAGCTGAAAACTAGATTCGAACTTCTGTACCGTTTACTCACACTGATAAAATACCGATCGATACCGCCGGTACAGCCGATCAGTATATCGCGCGGTTCGGTAGGCTGCGGTAATTCCAGTTCTGCTGGTGGTATAGCGGGGAATATACTCGATGGTAACCTAGCCGGTAATCGGCGATATCTGAGTAGTATTGAAGACATGGGAACACCTTAAGTACTTTTGGACAGAAAAACACCATCCCTAGCATCCGTGCTTGTAGAGAAGATTTTCATAATCTATGTCGTAAATGACAGAAACTTGATAATGTCAATACACCAGAATTCCTGCCAAACACAAGCATCTCTGAATGCTGACAAACTTGATTCAGAAATGGTTTGTAAAATACCAGAACGTAAAAAAAGAAGAAATCCACGGACTGTTGTTGAAACTGTTTGTCTGCTTGTGCAGTAACGAAAGCGGATGCCAAAACCGGTAGCTGTGCCGCAGAAGGCGGTGAAATTTTTTGAATGGATAACTACAGCCGACATTATTCAGATTTACTATACTTTTTTGCTTCATATACGCTGATGACTTACCGTAAAAAATGACGAGGGAAACGAACTTTCAGAGTCTCAAAACCGCTAGAAACTTTGAGTTCTTTTTCTGCGTCTTACGCATAAGAATAATGTCATTGTCGTATGTCTGCCACTGTAGGCGGCGAAGCATTTTAGTCTGTGGTTGCAAAAAAATCGTTTCTGTGGTCTGTTGAAATGCTGTCTGGGGCTCCTTTTAAAAATCGGGACCAGGTTTAAAACTACTCAGACATCACTAGACTCAATCTAGGGTAGACTCAAGCCTACCCAAGCCTCGTGACTCCGTCGCCTATGATTAAATATCTAATTATAGATAGTTCACTATCCTGTAGCAACAGTCATCGTCTTAAATTTTCGAAAATAAAATTCTTTTCCCATTCAAGAAAATATTGTATCTATTAACCGCTTGTTGTAACGCATAGTGGAAAATCGACATGTTACTGTTCTTGATATGCATGAGTATATTCTAAAAGAGACTAAATATATGGAAGGCATGATGGAGAAACTGAATTTAATAAAAGAATTTTGAATAGAATCTTTGTTTGAAATTCATGAATGAGTCCAATTTTCAAAAAACCCCGTTGTACTACTAAAATGTAAAACGCCACTGAATCTTCCTAAAGTAGTGTCTCACCGAAAAAAGATTTCGTATTCTAAATATGATATTTTTGAAACAAAAAAACAAAAGATTACTTCAAAACATCAAAACTAAGAAATAGGACAAAAATATTTTAAATATTTTTGTGATGAACTTTATGCGATTTCTCACTATGTATCATAATAAGCGATCAACAGGTACAATATTTTCTTGAATGAGAAAAGAATTTTATTTTCGAAAATTTAGAACGATGACTGTTGCTACAGGATAGTGAACTATCTATAATTAGATACTTAAGACATGGTTCACTAGAAGGAAAAATGTTGCTATTTTGTGAGGGAGAGATCTAAAAAACAAACTAAAAATATAAAATTTCGAAAATCAAATGTTCAAAATGATGTTTTACATATTTATATGTGGAAAAAAAATACAAAAAATAGATAAAAGTTTATTTTAACTAGTATTTTTCGTACTTTGAAAAATATGTATGTACTGTTAGATTGTGGTCAATTATTGAAGAAAGGTAATTTATGTGCAGCAAAAGTATTATTTCAATCTATTGGATCGATTATCCATGATTCATATTTGTTTCCTGCAAATGACAATTATAAACAATATTATCCATTGTATGAAAAATTGAAACGTGCAATAAGACAATTAGAAATTAGTATATCTAAATTACATACAACATTATGGAATGACGCTATTATATTTGACGATATAAAAATCACGTTATCATTACATCATTTGGATAATTTATTTCAGTGTACATTTGATACGGATAGTGAATGTTCAATAATTGAAAAACAAATTAAATCATTTGCAGTACTATGTCAAACGTCATTATTTCAGAATAATGATAAACAATATTATAAAGTGAATGTCGAACGTTTGAATGAGAATGATCAAACATTTATTCTGATTAAAATTAATCAAAAAGAAGAAGAAGGAGAAGAAGAAGAAGAACTACAACAACAAAATGAAATCAAGCGATTTACTTATGTTATTAGTCAATTACATGTATTATTCGATACATTATCAATGTATCTACTTTCTCGACAGATCAATTGGAAATCACCCACCACAGTTATGAGCATCTATAGTAAAGAGATAAAAAATGATTTTATCGATTCAATACGTCAGAAATTATTGAATTTAATCCCGAATAATACGGAAAATATTGATTTATTCAAAAATTTATTGAATGTATTAGCAGAATTTGAAGAATATTTGAAAAAAATACATTTTTTCGACACTCATGATACGAATGTTTTTCTTAGTGTTGTAAACAATTTAGATGAATCAATAATTAAAAGTAAATGTCGCTTATATTTACAACAAGCAAGAGATCTATTATTAACACATCAAAACTATGATAATAAATTGAATACAATGACTTATGGTGATGATAAACAAGTTTATGATATGAACGAATTGGATAAACAACAGAGAAAAACAGATATGAATTATTGTCTATCATCATTTAATATGGATGAAATTGATTCAAATATGTTTCGTTTTCCAAAATCGATTATTATGTAAGTAGAATATCAATTTGTTTGCCAAAATTGCCAATAGAAGTGTTGTAAGAAAAAATTTAAATGAATAAAATTCATTCAAAATAGTCGAACGTTTTTTGCACATACTTAATTTTTATATGTTTCTTTTTAGTGAACATGTTTATGAATATGTCAATTTGATCAAAACTGTTTTGATCGAAGCTCAAAGTTTAGATCAATATGCATCTCATTTGTGTGCTACAGCTCGAAATATAATGGAATTATTTCATACCATTTATTCAAATATCCATATTCAAAAAGCCCTCGAATTTCCCTATTTGACTGGTAAAATAAACGTTTTATTATTTCAATTATTCTAATCTTCTCTTATTATTATTATTATTATTGTATTATTTAGCCATTCAGTTTAATACGTACATGTACGTAGCGCATGAGTGTTTATTATTAGGTCAACAATTTCAAGGTTTAAAATCTAAAACAAGTGATGGTCATTTTACATTTGTTGATTATGTTCCGTTATTGAGAAATCAAGCAGCAAACATATTAAAACAACAAATTGATACACAAAAACATACATTGACAAAATTTATCAAAGATGTTGGCGGTAAGTTTCTTTTCATAACGTTACTCAACACTGTTTGGATAGCAACGATAGCAAACGAATTAAAAAGTTCAAAAAAGTCTTTATCTCCCATACAATTGCTTATGTTAATTGAGAATTAATCTATCACACTGTACTTAAAATGTTCGCTCACAGTTACCTATTCTCCTCCCCATCGCGAGATTTCTAGAATTCTTTATCAGATTTGATTGTCACTTGCTATTAGTTTCTACAGTTCTTGTTCTTAACACAAAACGATATTTTTAACTTGTTAGAGTCGTCCAATATGCAAGATGCTTGGCTTTGACAATAATTCGTAGTATTTTAGAAGCGTAGAAATTTATTTTTTGTGTTAAAAGCAAGAAATTATGGAATTAATTATCAGAGGCAATCAAATTTGGTACAGAACTTAAGAAAGTTTGACTGATTTTAAACAATTTCGAAAATTCGATGTTGTTCAATGTCCATTTTTATAATCCTTGCCCTTGACATAAGGAATTTGTCTGACGCGCAACATGCTTCTTCAATTACTCATTTAGAGATCCAATTGGAATTGGATCACACATTTTTCTTTTTCTACTTTCTATTCAAAATTGAGAATCTAATAGGCACGGTATAAAACCTACGATTCTGTTTAATTCGTTCGCTATACTACCCAAATGGCATTGAGTCGCTAACTTTCTTCCCACATGATTGTTGTTTTGAAATAAAATAGTAGCATGATGTGTGTTGTATACTATATAGGATTTGGTAATGTTGGCGATAATGAACATGATCAAGATATTTTAAGACGAACAATCACACAGTGTTCATTGCACATAAAAAACCTTTCACGTGCCTGGAAAAATGTTTTCTCGGCACACGTCTATTTCCAAGTGATTGGTTAGTTAATCCGAATCGAAATATATATATGAATGACAGTATATTTTGTTTGTTTGTTTTCTATCGTTAGGTCATATCTGTGATCATGTTAGCTTACAGTTAATTAATCATACATTAATATTAGAAGATATAGCTGAACAAGATTCAAAAACATTATTATCATCATTTACACAGTGGGCTCAATTTTTACAAGATATTCTTGTTAAAGATGAACATAGTCCTGGATTAAACATTCTCGAACGTTTATCACCAAATATAACACGATTTAATGAGTTGTGTTTAGTTTTAAATAGTCCATTACAAACAATTGTTGATCGGTGGTTTAATGGTACAGGTCCATTGGCCAGTTATTTTGGACCGTTAGAAGTTAAACAATTAATTCGTGCTTTATTTCAAAACACAGAAAGACGTACAGCTGCATTAGCTAAAATCACATGATATTGTATTAATAGAACAGTGGTATTGACATTATTTTCTGTCATTTTATATTATTTCGTTCCAAAAAATTTACTAGTAGGTTTTTATTTGTTAAAAATACAGATTTGCAACATTGAATATGATAGGACATTCATGAGATGGAGACAAAATGTCGAATATAATCGGGAGTTATCTCATGTATTAATTGAAACAAAATATAATGCAGATACAAATTTTAGGAATAGATCAAAATCTAAACACAAATGACATTACGATGAATAAAAAGAATATTGCTTCAATGTACATATTTTAGATAAGAGAAGTGTACAATAGTTCAATTAAAGTCAAAATAAGCGTTGAATACTCAATGTTAGTAGAAGAAATTAAAGAATGTTTATTTTTGTCACATGGAGAATGAGAAATCAAATTATTTTATGGTATCCGAGTGACTTATTCTTTAATCTTTTTCTACTCTATTTCATTTCTTAATTACGCTGATGGAACATGTTCGTAATATAAATGGCTTAACTCACAATCATTAATCACTTTTTTGTTGGTATAGCACGATGAATGATAGAATTAAATTTGTCACTATTAAATTTATGTATTGGTGGATGTATAACGTTTGATTTTGACTCTTCATTTCAATGAAAGAAGTTCTTCTGGATATATTACTAATGGAACGAACGTGATAGTTTTGTTTAATTCAGGCTGTCCGACTAGAATCGTAAGTGATTATCGAACTAACAAAATAAATGTATCATGTTTTAAAGCTACTGTTATCGCAATAATCTTCTTGTTCAAATTATTATCCATTATCAAAAATACTTGCTACGCTTAGATAGGAATCTGAATTTCGTGATTAGCACACCTCATTGTTCCAGAACAAGAAGACAGAACTGCCTGTATAAATTGCATTTAAGAATTATATTATAAGTATAAGAAATAAATATTTAATTATATCTTTTACTTAGAATTAAGGAACTGATTGTAATTATTTTGATTTACGTATCTTCCAGTAATAAAAAAAATTAATTTTTGGATCAGGAATTAATTTTTCCCGTTTTCTTGTGCATACACTGACTCTTTTCCCTTACTATACAGCTTTTGCAAGGCAGCTATGTATGCTATCATAGGACTCAAAAATTGATAACATTTTTAAGAATAATAAAAACTGAAAAATAAACAGGCAAGAAAATTGAAACACCTACGATGAGTTCTGACTTACGTCGACGAACTGGTTATTCCGACATCAGACAAAACTGATCGGAATAGAGCACAGGTTTCGACAGATTTCGGGGTATTCAGATTGTCAGAATCATGGACCGGGAAAGATCAAGAGTAGTCAATACAGTTTTATTACATTCAACTTTACTACTGAGTGTGATTTATACTACTCAAATATAGACTATTTTATAGCATTTGAGAGTTGAAACATAAGCTTCCGATACAGTGATGGCCAAAATTAGAGATGTCCATCGTCGTTTGGACAATCATAATTATTTATGACTTGATATTTTGTATATATAGTTTAGATGATATGCTAATCACTCAACAAGTTCATGAACAATAAAGATTCCATATTGTTTCAATAAAATGTTAATAGCTGTGATCAAAATGTAGCCATGTCTCCTTATTACAAACCTTATTTACGCTGCTTTTATGATAATGAGAACAAATTTCAAAACTGACCGAATATCGCAGAGTATCTGCATCCTAGTAAATATTACCAGTCAATACATAAGATTCATGCCATAAATAGAAGTAAAGCATGGCTACATTTTGATAAAAAACTAATTTTCGTAGATCATAATTATTAACATTTTATTGAAACAATATGGAATTCTTATAGCTCATAAACCATACAGTCAAAGAGACTGAAACTTGTTGAGTGATTAGCATATTATCTGAACTATATGTATACACAAAATATCAAGTCATAAACAATTATGATTATCCGGGTAAACAAGGATGGATATCTCTAATTTTGGCAGAAGATGTGAGTCCACTGTTTTTCTGGTTATCTAATCATCGTCTGAATCCAATCAAGGTAAGCACTTGTTCTTGTAAACACAGTCGGAAAATTTCCACATCCAAGTGCATAACTTACTATACCAGCAACATACCATATTCCGTTTTCATTGTAAAATAGTCCACCACCACTATCACCTTGGCACGTTCTACAGAACGACAGAAAAAAGATTAGGTTAGTTAGTTTTGATTTCGACTGAGCAAAGCACTGCACAGACACGGCAAATTCCCTAGTAAATTGAGACTAACCCGTGATCATTCGCCAAGAATCCGTCGGGTACTGTACAAATTTGTTCCTGATGTGAATAGGAAAAATACATTGAACAATCATTAACTATACGTAAACGAGCTTGTAACAATATATCACTTGAGCTATCCGCCGGACCATCTATTGTATTACCCCATCCAGCTACAAACACCGTTTTGCCTAATGGTGGCGCCAAAGTCTAGTGAGGATACTGAAAGGTAAAAAATTTCAGAAAGAAACCAGAATTTATTATACCTTTTCAGTGAGACATATTGGCTGTACAGTGGCGCTCCAGACAATGGGTTGTGCCAGTTTAATGATACCAATGTCATTTTGTTTTGTCCATTGATTTTCATCGTACAATGGATGTATAATTAACTGAGAGATTGAATATAATTGACCAGAAAATTGTCTATGATGTACTCCAACTTTAGCTTTATAATTAGTTAAATCATTTGGATCACCGAGGCAATGTGCTGCTGTAAGTATGTGGTATTGATCAATGATAACTCCACCGCATTCATGTTTTCCCCTATATTCTAGAGTAACTGCCCATGGCCATGAGTGCGGTATCGCTTCAATACCATTTATAATTCGAAGATGGTTCATTACCATAGGTGAATTATAAGTGGCACCACATTGCTGTCTTTCGACGTTCTTCATGCAACAAAACCTAATACGATAATCTGGACATGGTGATATGAACGTACCAGAACAAAAGAGACCGTTCAAATTGACAACCGTGTGATAGAAAGAATCTTTTATATTTTCGTATGCATATTCCACCGTTATTGGATTATCACAGACAGTGTTTGGATACTGTTGTTGAATTTGTTTTAAATCCTCCATGTCATTTCCATTAAATGAAAATGGATTCTGTGTGTTAAACCAAATACTCCATTGAGCTCTTGCAATATCACATGCGATATTATCAAGTAATAATTGAGTTTGATACGTTTCCATAATAAAAAGAGAAGCGAATAGCAACAATAGAATATGATGCATTTTTCGCGATTGAAACGACTGTTACTAGTTTTCAGAAATGAGATGGCATCCTATATTCGATTTTATTTCTTAGAAATTGGAAATATGAGTAAAAATAAGCGTCATGATATTTTCAATTTTATTTTTAATCAGCTGAGAGATATGTCTTACGTTATTCTATATTTTTTGTTTTCATTGTGTAATTTGACTCCAGAATGTGCTTACAGTATACGTTGTTTTAATCATATTGATTTTAACTGCCGTAATAAATAGACTAGACTATTTAGTTCCCGAATAATGTATTTAATATTCAATTTCTATTAGAGTGAATTGTATTTTGCAAATAAGTTCCCAAGAACTGTTTTAATCTACAAAACTAATAATTAGAAATTTCGATAATAAACTAGAATCGCTTGATCAGCACTTCCACTAAAGTAGAAGTTTTTTGCTTCATTTCTCAGAATTTTTGAATATCAACAATCGGATTCAGAAAGGGTTGATTGAGAGAGTGGTGGCAAAAAGTCTAATGGGAAATAAAAATCCAAGACTGTTCGTTGCTGATTGTAAATTCCTAGGAAATGGAGTCATAAACATTTGCAACCATCATATAATATACAATTTGCTATTTACAATTTATTTTGAAAATATCTTTAAATTGTTGACTACTGTAACGAATGGCGGCTCGGTAGTTCAGCACAAAAGACAATATTAAGAATGGACTAGTTTTATCGTCAGAATTAAGCAAAATCTTTTATTACTATTTTAGTAGTCCCATGAAGTAGTCACTATAACAATCAAAAAAAATTCACAATAAGCAAATTATTCATTACCAAAATATCCATCGAGACCAACTTTTCCACTAGCATCAGTGTATAAATCCATATTATATGTACTAATTTGTTGTGGTATATAAAACGCAATATGCATCAATAATATGTAAAATAAATTGACTATGATAATTATATAAATTACAATTTAGCATAAACATGAATTTAACGTTTTGAAAATTTCTGGAATAGATCTGCAACCAAATTTTTTTCTCAAGCAAATGCCTGAAAGAGGCCATTAATCTGAACGGATCTAATTTCAAACTTATGACGATAAAGAATAATAGTAGTATATAAACTTGAATCAAATCATCTCTAGGAATGAATCCCAGTATATTTATGACATTCTATGCTACGTGAATGTATCTGATAAACGTGATATGATAATGAGACATATCGGCTCTCTCTCTCAGTTAATATGTGCTTAGTATGTCTGATGCTGAATTTGCAGACGTTCTACTATTATAGCAAAAAGCTATTGAAAGCACTATAGAAATTCCGATATCGAATTCATTCTTAAGTCTATCAGTTAAATAATCAACAGTTTCTCAATCCGGATAGAGAGTTAAACCTTTCTAAATGTTCTATGTTCAAGGACGTTATAACTCGAACAATTTAATCTGAAGCACCTTTTTGAACTGTAATTGACACAAATCTCTGAACTTGTTTGCAAATGAAGTGAAGAACGTGCTATGGAATCAGTGTATTTCTGAAGAATCAGTGTGTGAGTGAAGATCAAAGAAATGTTGTACACTATCAATAAAGTACATATTATGGCTCGTTGTTTTATACAACAAGATCTTGGTAAATCGGTCCCTTTCTCGAGATTTCATAATGATTCATACTCAAACCTGATCATCCTCTGTCATTATATCTATTTTAATTATCTACTGTGCGCGTATGAGTCATAAGATAAATAGATTTCAAAATATACAGAAAAAAATATGCTATTTTCAAAATAGCTCAACAAATACAGATCAGTTAAATTTTTTTCTGAGGAAAGGGCACATCTACACAATATACTGAACATAAAGTGTGAAGAAACCATCTTGGACAGATGTATCACTGATAGAGAAGTGTGCATGACAAACCTTATTTAAATTTATCTTGGCTCATTTATAAAAGATCACATATACTAATAGTTTAATCTCTGTTTGAGCTATAGCTGCGAGACAGGGTAAAAAAATATCTTTTACAGTTCAATTAACGACAATTCTACATTTCAGAATGATTGCTACTGTTATGGTGGAAGAATGACGGTAATCATAAAAAATACTATTGGTATATCGTATACCTATATATCCACAATTAGGCATGCACCAGTTTTTAACTGGTGTTGAGGCATCCGGGAGAATTCATACAAATCAGTTACCACGATTCTCTCAGAGCTGTAAAACATCTAATTTTGTAGAAAAATGTTTGCTCTACAAAATGTATTTGTTAAAAGAATTCCAGAATCATTTCTAAGAAAACTCGGAGTATTCAAAAATACATTAAATCACGGAAAAAAACCTGTTCGTACAGTTTTTTTTTCGTAATTTAGTACATTTTAGAATGCTCCAAGTTTTCTTAGAAATGCTTCTGGAATTCTTTTAACAAATACATTTTGTAGAGCAAACATTTTTCTACAAAATTAGATGTTTTACAGCTCTGAGAGAATCGTGATAACTGATTTGTAGGAATTCTCCCGGATGCCTCAACACCAGTTAAAAACTGGTGCATGCCTATCCACAATATCATTTGAACAGAAAGAAAAAATTCCTTTTGATATTTTGTGTAGTAACCACGAAAAATGTTCATATTTTTTTTTAAAAATCAATTGGTAATTCGGGCAAGATGTATGTTCTTTTCAAAGTAGATCCATCCACGATTTTATTAAGAATACGTTTTCCTCTGGTGAGTTTTCCTATATTTCACGGAATGAGAAACTAGATGAGATTAACTTACTTTTTGTTAATGATTATGTTCTTTGGTGTAGAAAAGACATATACAACGTTCTTTTTCAACTCACTAATAAGAATCGGACGACTTACTGGTAAAACATCCCTATAAGGATGTATTACCAGTAACCAACTATAGTTGGTGACGTAATTCAAAGGTGGCTAACTTATGCATTATGCCACATAAATCATGAATACTCTAATCATTTGTGGATATATCTGTATCCGTGTCTTGCGTTTAGATCGTACAAAAAGACAACGGTCTTTATTATAATATTAGCCTGAAGAAAAAGGGCTAGTGACGCATGTCTTTTGCTCAAAAAAAGAACAAAATATAAATAAAACGGAAGTACAAAAATACAATCACTAATATGTTGAGACTAAAAGCTTTCTAATATATCGTTAAGATTTCCTTCAGTGATCCTGTCGTCATAATATTGTGCTCGAATTCTTGCCTTTTTAGTTAGTTGAATTGAGTATTCTTTTATTTTTTGAATTTGCCTGTTGTATGTATGTAGTTAACTGACGTATACGTCGAAACAGCTAATGTTGACAGAATTGCTTTATTCTGCAGTATTGAAAGACGTTACCAAATTTTTAGGACTGTTCTAATCAGCGATTTATAGAGATTCATTATGATTTGAGTGTTTAGTTCATCTCCGGCTGATTTTGATACGTAACGCAGAAGAGATGTTCGCGGTATAACACGAGTCTCAATATGCTGAATATGTGCTGTCCAATTATTTTCTATCGAGAATTACACTAGGGTATCTGGCTGAGCTTTGTGGCCTGATTGTTGTGTTTCTTATTTTTATTTTTATTTGATTTTATGTTTTTTTCTTGGATGAGGTACAAAGTGAACAATTTCTGTTTTTATCGGCTGTATTTCAAGTTTCCACCATTTGCATCACTGTTGAAACGCGTCGGTAGCTTCTTGTAGGTTTTTATTTAATGTTGTAATAATGTTTGAAGACGATCAGAAGGCAGTGTCGTCCGCAAAGGAAGAAGAATAACCCGCCTTGCGGCTACCTTGCAGTGTAGGGTGCTGCCGAAGCAGTTTCGATAAGCCCGATATCTTCCCTACAGCTGATGATCTTCAGAGACCGTCATCCGTTCTTCTACTAGTCACCAAGCAAGCTGTAGCTCCGGACAGAAGGCCAGCCTGACACAGAGTTCTTTTCTTGAGCTCCCCATACACACTCACTAACCGAAGTACCGGTATGTTACAACGTAGTGAGCATGCTATCGGACGGGTGATCCGAGACAATAGCCATTAGTAACTTGTCCAAGGTTATTCTATGACTGGGTGGCGCCGAGGCTCGAACACAGTCCCTCTGAAGTACGTGCCGAACAACATAACCATTCAACCATAATTGACTGTCCCGCAAAGAGACCGTGCTCTGTGTTTGTCGGCATTTCGTTGACTGAGTTATAGGTATATATGGTGTATAATAGAGGTGATAGGGGAGATCGTTGTGGAGCCGCTCTTCTTAGAATAAACGATCTCAAATCTCAAAAATATTTTCTGATTCTATATATGCAACTCTGTTTTCCAGGAATGAAACTGTCCATTTGATAATATATTTTGGCAATTTCAGTTTATTCATTTTATATATTAGCCCTTCGATCCAAACGCTATCAAAAGCGGCTTTGATGTCAGAAAATATTACCGCTGAATGCCATTGTTGTAGTGTAGATTATGTCTAACATAGTTTCTAGACGGACGACATTGTACAAAGCATTTTTCCTGGCTCGAAAACCAGCTTGGTACTGCTGTAGTATGTTTCTTTCTTCTTTCGGCGTAATCTTTGTTTCATCAATTTTTCGAGTACTTTTCCAAGGCAGCTAAGTAAGCTTATAGGCCTGTAGCTTGAAGATTTCTGTTTATTTTTGTTCGGTCTTAATAGAAATATGATGTATGCTGTTTTGCTAGCAGCCGGTACATATTCAACTTTTATGGCGCTGTTGAACAGTCTGATGAGATGTTCCAGTAGTGACGGTCTATGGTTTTTCAGACATCGACTGTGTACATTGTCTGGCCTTGGAGACGTGCTCTTTAGAGATTTTAGACATTGTTGTATTTTCTTTTTTTATTATTAGTGGAATGTTACGGATTGATTTTTTATAGCTACGTTTTAGTTTCTCCATCGTGTTGATGATATGATCATGGAATGGAATTTCGTCCGCTTTACTGCTGTATGCTTCATTTTCAAAGTATGTTTCGACGCATATCACATTTTTGTTGACCGGTGCGGGCAGTACTATCATTATATTTCATTATGCTGTTTTATGTTCTATCATTGCGTAGAGAATTGTTTAGTGGAATTTTATCCTTGTAATATTCATTATTTGCTTCATCCGAGTGTGTGTTTTTCCACTTTCGGTACCACTTGTGTTTGTTTTCTATTTAGAATTTAGTTGTTCGGATTGTTTCCATTATTTCTAGATTAGTTGCTGAAGGTGGAACAGCAGGTTTCGAAGCAGTGACGATACAATCTGTTTTGAATTTGTTGTATTCTTCAATCTCGTTCGGTGTATTCACTGGTAGAGTGATGTCCCACTTAGATATCATATCGTTGAGTTGCTGACGATATATTTATCAATTTGCTGCTCTGAAATTATAAGAAAGCCTCGGTGATTTTGGTTTACGATCTACACACGCAGTTAATTCAAATGTAAGCGGTTTATGACCGCTAAGTCGGCACGATCATTACGAAAGATCATGAAGTGGGACCGGGAAAACATCTGATTTGAATTCAAGTTCGTTTCATTTAAAGGTATAATGTCAAAGTTCTGAAACCGAGCATATAGTTCGCCTTTTTGACTGAAGTAATATTGATGTGACAAATTTTTATTTTTTAATTGTTGCAGATCTAGTAGTTCGATGATCATTTTTAAACTGCTTACAGTCTCTTTGACCAGTTTTTGATTTTCTCTTGCTTTTTACTGTATGTTATTATTAGCTATTAGTTCTTGTATATTTCTAAATGCATCTTGATTTGGTAAAGGAAGATTAAAAGGATTGAAAGATTTTCGTTTATACTTTTCTTTAGTTTGCTTTTTTTCATCACTTGACTAAGCCTCTATTGTCTTACCCTGTATTTCATCCTGTGATTGCATAATGAAAGAATCTCCATGGTATGCAAATTCTTCTGAGTCACTAGTATCATCATCTATTGCTTGTGGTTATGTATGGAAACTGTTGAGAGAATATTTATTAATTTAATTAATTCAGTTTTAATTCATTTTCTGTATATTTCGGGCATTTATCTGATGTTGCTAAATGTTGTCTTTTATAATTGTAACAGACCGGCTGTATTGCTGCTGATTTATCACAATCTGTCGTTTTGTCGTTGTTGCCACATTTTACATATTTTGATTCACTTGACTTCTTACTATATTTATCTGCATGTTGGAACTGTAAGCAAATATTGCATTGTAAAGGTTTTGTTTTATGTTCACTAAATAATACAGATTGCCCATTTACATTCCTACTTTCACAAATGTGTTTCTGTTTTCAACGCCAGAGAAAGTTACTTCCACTGCAGTGCCAGGATCGTTTTTTTTTAAATTTTGAAACCGAAAAATGCTGACGACTGAGAATCCTGCATTTTTAAATACAATCCTTATGTCTGCATCAGTGCTTTCAATATCAACGTGCGTCATTATAGCTTCTTTATCAGTCTGCTGAATTTTTCAGTTGATTTAAGTATGGATATTTTTACGTTTTACGGATTTAGACATTGATCGTTCGGGAATTTTGTTAGCAATTTATTAAAGCTATCAGCACTAAGTGGATAAGCGTAAAGAGTAAAAGATCCGTTTTTGTTAGCTTGAGTGTTATTTAATTTTACTTCAGGCATATTGCTCGTCAAAAATTTGTGCAATTGCATTCGACCAATAATAACTGTTCCATTTAATAGCAACAGTGAAATAGTGAAGTGTTTCTGCGTTTGAAATGTTGTTGTTTGGTTTTGCGTTGTCGCACTTTTGTGTTATGTTCTTCTTGAACCTTTGCAATGCTTATTTGTGACATTTCCACCATCGCGGGAGTATCCGTCTTCATAAGTTTGTTGTAACCAGTAACTTGTTTAGTATTAGATAGTATTTGATAGAAAATTTGACACGTTTAAAGTATATATTTCACAAACAATCAGAGACACATCCGTTCATTAGCTCGTTAACTAACATCTTCATTAGATCGTATAAAATACTATTTTTAAGACAAAGTACTGGTTTCTGATACGTATTATTGATAAGTTACTGGTACAAAGTACTGGTTTCTGGGTATTATTTGATTTATTTGTTTAAAATAATAATTTGTATTATTTACGCTCACATTCATGAGATTTTGGGATTTTATACAGTTTTTTGGCTTCAGTTTTTCTTTTATTGTTTATATTGAATACTATTTTTGTTTCTTGCATCCATACAGACATTCAAAGAAAAACATTAATATATATAATGAAATATTTTTAGTTCTAGTATTCGTTACATTTCTTTTATATTTACACAGTAAATTCCGTTTTATATTAATTTCCTTCAAGTATCAATGCTATTTTTAGTGTCTAATAAAAAAAACTCACAGAAGGATCATGTGACATGCTTTTCTTATATAGTGTATCCGAGCTCATTATATATATCCGTACATGAAAAAGCAAAATTTCAGTAAAAATCTGGTTCCTGCAGTGAAAGGTATTAAGAACTGCACCCGTACACAGGGCTATCCCCAAGAGGTCAGGATAGGAAGGATCACCGTAAACATTCCATGAAAATCATGCAAAACGAAAATCAGAGCGAAAATTTTGCATGAGTGATAAGGCTCCCATCAGGATAGCTCTGGCAGGAATTCTTCAGATTATGAAACACATGAAATTGTAATAATAACTATTACCAACAACCCAATGAATCGGATTTCGCACCTCCACCGATGCATATACTGCGAATAAAAGATGGCTTGGTAAGGCGTCATGATGCTTAAAAAATACACCTATCATGTAGTTATTCGAGGTATATTTTTAATTATTCTTAAGTTAAACATCTATGTGCCTTGAAAATCACCTCTTAGTTGTTGCTTTTGTTGACTGTAATTATAAGAGAGATAGGAAAAGTAACATGTGTACATTGTCTGAAATAATCGTCGTTTTTCAAGTGTATTTTATCATTATTTCACTCGTTTTACATGGATTCTGTTTTGCGTTGCTGCGACGATACAGTAACATTCCTAGCATCAGGAAAATCCCGTTTTCTTTTCTATCTGATTCAGATAAATCTGAACTTTGTTTAGTACTAAACTATCTGTTTCATTTAGGAAAACTTGAAATCTTAAGAATAAGGAAGATTTATACCTAAATAATACCTTGTACCATTTTGAACGCAACATCACCTTACAAAAAAATTAAGTAGTATTCAAAGTGCAAAACGGTAAGTAAATTATGTCACCGGACACCCATCATCAAGGTGCACGTCCGTACCTTGTGAGTGTTCGTATACATCTATAAAACAGTGCCGCACAGACGTGCTGGATACAGACTTTTGCCTACGCTGCTGTTTAACTAACTAATTATTTAACGTTGTTTTATGAAGTCTATCAATATAAACAGATTAATAAAATGATGATCGTATTGGCAAGAAAAAATATGTGTTTGTGTTAACTTGTTAGAAAAAACTTATATTACGAGCGAGAAAAATCAAAAAAAGATTTCTTTGCTCATGTTTATCAACTACTGCTTTATCCATTGATTTGTTGAACGTTCACTCATAATTCTGATATAATACATTGAATTAGCTTAAGAGTCTTGTCACACAGAGCTTATATGTAATAATAGGTTTTTAAATTGAACCGTTCTCTGTCATATAGCTTCGAAGTTATTACTGCAATTCCATGTATTTCATAGTTTAGAGAAACAAATTAAGAGCATATCGCTATTTCATATTTAAAGTAAAACGACAAAAAGTTCTATGTACAACATATAAGTGAAGGTAATTCAAAACAAAATCAATAATAAATGTACAATATTTGATTAAAAAAACGAATGTCACGATATTTCATCAGACAGAATTGTTAAGTATTTCCGTTTGTGTAGAAGCACGATAGAATATCTTGATTTATATAGACAATTGTCCCAGCGAAGCTTAATGTTCCATTGCGTGTGTCATAAAACACAATCAGTATTTGTTTAAAAGAAGTATCCAAATAATGCCATAATGTTTAAAGAAATTGCATATTATTTCTCTATAATCGGTGAAGTTTGATATTGTTTCAATTTCTTTTCATATTCGAGTAGTTGACCAAGAAATCCAAAGTTCGGCGATACAATTGAACGTTTTCGTTTAACTAAATCATAGGCATCGTTCATACTCATATTAGAATATTTCATTAGAAATCCTATAACGATTGCTGGAGAACGTGATATACCCGCCTGACAATGAACTAAAACTTTTTTATTATTTTCAATTGCGTCCAAAATAAAATTATATACTTTATCAAAATAATCGATTAAATTTTGTTTATTTGAATCATCTGCTGGTAAATGATAATAAATTAAATCTGATGAATTTTTCCAATAACAGGGTAAATGTTGAGTGACATTGATAATATGAGTAATTTGTTCATTTTCTAACCGCTGAATATTTTGAGCATCTTGTTTACTTCCAATATATAAACCATTTACAATTTCTGTCATGGGAAAATTTTCATAATCTTTTTGTGTTGGTGAGACTGGAGTAATTGATAATGGCGCTGTTAATGGAACAGATTCACAATAACTATTGTGTACGGGTGATGATGGACATGAACGTGGTTTTTGTTGACGAGGTGAACATTCACATAAATGTTTATATTGTTCATAAAACTGACTAAATGATGGATTTAAAATATAAATTTTTTTATTATAATTATAACGTTTTATTTCTTCACAGACACATTTAAGTGAAGGTGTTAATCTATGAAGTGAAATTTCTATATTTTTTATAGTAGTTAAATTATCGTCATTGGCTGTTGATAAAGTTATGGTGGGAGAGAAAAATGACGATGAAAATGATAAACATTTTTCATCGCTAATAACTGGACAAGAGTTTGGTATTATATGAGATTTCTGCAAAGTATCATCATATAGAATAATTAATTCACACTTATCAAGTAATTTCGTATTTACAAAGCTTTGTATACCACGTGTAGCGAAACGTTTTCGAGTTATTTTATCACTAACATACATTAATTGAGAATTCTTTATATGTTTTTCGTGGAAACGAAATGGTGAACCACAATCTAATATTAAGTAACGCTCATCTGTTGATGATTCAACATAAAGTGCCAATTGTTCACATGTTAATAGTCCAATTTTATCCTGTACGATATTGATTAATGGTACTAACGACGTTTCACATGAAGATGATAATGCTGGATTTGTTACTAATAATGTACGCGGACGGTGGCGTTTTTGTTGTTGTACAGGAGATGATAGTTCTGGTAATGATGTACATGGGGAGAATTTCAAATTTATTTCATCATTAATCTCACAACGATTATCGGATGGATGACTAACACTTGTACGTAATTGTAATGGATGTTTAGTATCCCAGAGAAACAACGATGTTGGACGTGTGAATGTTGACAGTGAATCATCTTTAAACGAAAACAAACACTCTAAATCTCCTATGGTTATATCATCTGTCTGTTTGTATGATATGAGAAACTTTCCTACGTTAAATGAGCAAGGAACCATTATTTTGTTGCAAAGACACAAAATCTGGATCAATCCTTCACTTGCCCTCAGATTACCCTTAAACATGATATGCTATATATTTTACCTGTTTCGTTTGGACATTTTGATACTGAAATTGGTCTGGACCAGTCGTTATTTATTTTGACAACTTTAACATTAGTTTGTTCGTTACTATCACTCAACTGCCGTTTTCTTGGTGGTTGATTATTATGAGAAGATGTCGTTTCTGTTGTTGTTAATTCATCACTTTCACTTAATGTCCTTCTTGTTATATTTACGTTGAAATTAATTGAACATGCTGTCTTTTTCCATATCGAATTTCTTGGTGTTGTTGTTGATGAAGAGGAAGAAGACTGAGCCATTTTTGAATTAGGATGTGGAAAAATGCATGCCGCCATGTAATAGATAATAGAAGTAATAGCAGTGGCAGTAGTACCAGGAGTAGTAATAATAATAGAGATCGATAAGAGAAAGAATTGATCTAAAAAAGAAAAATAGCAATTAGATCGTGATGGCTAACAAGAATAACTTATTTTCTTTCTTTTTTCTTCTTCTATCGTGCTAGATCATATGTAATTTCTCTACAGAGTGTTTGCTTTTTCTTCTCATATCTAAACCAGAAATCTCTGCGTATAGACATGCGTATCATACGATCAAAAAAATTAATCGTGCCCATTGATGACATTATAGGTCATTGTAGTTTATAATCAAGAAAGAATGCAGAAACCAACGGCAAAAAGTAATGAAAAACGAATACTGTAGATAAGCAACATAACCATATTAAGCTCTAAATCTAAGATTGCTCCCCGTAGATAAGAATAATGTAACCTTTTAAAGACTTGCGAGTTCTTCTTTCATACATTTCGACTTGTCTACAATTACCTTGCTTTTCTTGATCAATACTCTTCTTACCTTTACTTTTTTATTTGAGTGTCTTTTCATAAACCTCGATCTGAGTTTAACTAACTCTATTAATCATAACTGTATTAGTCATGTCTTACTCAAACTGTTTCTCTCATTGATGCTGTGCTGTGTAATCTTTACATTACTCAATTTTGCGATATAAAGTTGAATCTTCTATTGCTCTGTTGAGGTACGAAGACAAAAAAGACGAAGAAACGAATAAGAGAGGAAATGTCTCACTTTTACGTTATTATGTAATGGTGGAACAATGATTTATACAGATGAATGAAAATATATATATATATAATCAATTCGAAGTTTGAATTCCATGCGCTTTTAGAAAACACGGAATTGTAATAGATGCTTCTTATGATGATGCATATAGCTATGACAAAAAAAGATGTTAAAATGAATAGTCATTATTTTTTTCATTTTTCTTCTTTCTTCTTTTTTTTCTTCGACTGACTCATATCATCCAGTACACATATGACTCATTGGAGAAAAGAACGGTAAAAATAACTTGCTCAAAATCAACAGTATTATGTGTTCGATCGAATACAAAAGTTTTACTTACAATAGAGAAATAGAATAGAACGCAGAAGAGTGAATGTGAACTGACCTCGCTACCTCATGAGCGTGTTGAAATACAATATAGAGTATATCAATATTCACGCTCATTTACATAAAATAGTCTATACAACTTCGATCACTTATTGGTTCTTCAAAAATTAAAGTTAAAAAGATATCTGTACGGTGTTATGTTTTTATAGATAGATTTATTTGATTTTTTGTAGACATAATAAATCATCGCAATGAAATGATTCATTGACAAATCGATGATGATGATAACTGTTTTATCAAACGTTTAGCCACGTATTATTTCCATTTAAAGTAAAATTTATTATTCATATTAATTTGCCACTTTAGGTGTGTATGACCCGTGTAAAAACTACTCAAGTTTTTGGGTCAGTTATCAGGTGCACATGCAGCTAGATATACGTGAAGCTGAATCTAGACAAATGACCTAAAAAATTTAGTCGTTTTTGCATGGGTGGGATGAATGACCGGAACACTCGTATTTCAAGTTTTTAATTAACAAAACTTTCACGGTTACATATGCCGTTAAGCAAGTGCATCTATGAATTTGATCAACCAAAAAATGTTAAGTGTCAATGTGTCATCACTGCCACTGTATGGAATACTCCGAAAGTTTTCAACATTTCTTTATAATCTTATTTATATAAGATCCCGTATATGTGGTGATTGTGAAAGATAAAACGAGACGAAGACTATTGTGACTCCAGCATTAGATTAGTGCTATCGAAATATATTGCTATTTTAGTTTTCCTTGTACGAAATGTAGTTAATTACGTACTTGTCAAGTGGATATTTACACGGTAGTGACAATTATATCGAAGTGACGTCTAAAGTATTCCCATCTAGAACTGACTCATTACCTGTTACTCCATGTTACTTTACTTATTACAAAAACTTGTTAGTTGTTATGCACAACACAGCAACAACATGTACTACTTTATTATAAGTAACAAGCAGTAATGAAGTAACAAGGTTGTTCAAATGTTTTGACTTAAAAGAATCACATTGATTCTCTTGAGAGATTATGATTTACTTTTCCACGAAGACTATACCCTACTCTCTAACAAAAAGGCGTCCGACAGAACCTTTTTGGTACCCAATTCTAGAACCATTTTAGGTTCCAGACTTTCTGGCTTGAACCTTTTTAGGCTTTAGACTTTCCGGGTAGAACCTTTTTTCGGATTTTTTTCGCAAAAAGGTTCAAGCCAGAAAGTCTAGAACCTAAAATGGTTCTAGAATTCGGTACCAAAAAGGTTCTATCGGACACCTTTTTTTTTTAGAGAATAGTGAAAGTACTCATATCATGAGTACGACTTTACTCATAAGTCGTCCATGAGTACTCATATGAGTTCTACTAACAACTTCTGAGTATTTTTATTCAGTGAGTACTCAGTTACTACGTGAGTACTCAAAAAATATTCATTCACCACCAAAATGAAACTGTACACTGTAAAATTGGAAATTATTTATGGAAAATGCTCGGCGAATTTCAAAGAGTACCTATGGGAATTCCCCGAGGAATTTCCAGTTTATAGAAAATCGAATTTCCAACAAGCTAGAAAATTGCCGTTGAATTTCCATAAATAATTTTCAAGAAAGTAGAAATTTTGTTTTGATTTTCTATAAACTGGAAATTCTGCACCGAGTGGCGAAGCGATCTGATTGTATGGGGGTTGGTCTTGCTCATGCTTTTGAGAAATTTCTGGTGAACGTCTCCGATTTTCGGACCTTGCTACCAAAACTTCGCGCCACCACTGTCTCTGCCTAAATCAAAACTCTTGCTGGCATAGGCAGAATTGTGATCTAAAGTAGAAACTGTTAAAGTTGATTTAAGTGTAATATGAGTGTCTTTACGTGATACTCTTATACTTACACTAATTACAAACCAAAAAGATGAATAAGTATTTGATCTAGAAAGTCCTGGGCGAAGTTCCACTTTCTAGAAAATCCCTGAGGATTTTCTATAAACTAGAAAATTGCCGGCGATTTTCCAGTTTATAGAAAATCTCAGCAATTCTCCACCTTTATAGAAAATGAAGTCGATTTTCTATAAAGCAGAAAATCAACATTTCCTAGAAAGCTGGAAATTCGTCGAGAATTTTCTATAAACTGGAAATTAATTCAAGATTACAGTGTATACAGAACGCCGAATTTATTAAAGAAACATAAAATATTTATATGATATTTTTCTCGCTGGTCTCTCTGTATATAGTCATAGATGGACTCGTCTGTGAATAGACTTGTAGTCCAACTCTGGCTGCCTGAGATCACTCCTCTATGTGAAAATATCAGATGAACAATAGTCATGAGTATTTTGCCAAAAGTTACATGCGTTCTCAACAATACTCTAGCATGAGTACTGAAAGTTCGTCCCCACAGTACTCATTACTCACTCCTCATTACTCACTCTTGGGTACTCATGTGAGTACTGAGTGATTACTCAAAATGTACTCGTCCGGTTTTTCTAGTAGAGTACTTTTTGAGTACTCACGCACGAGTACATTCACTAGAGTAGGCAATAAGAGGATGTCTCATTAACATTAGTTGTAGTGACGAAACTGTTACTTGTTAACAGTAGTAATAAAGTACCAAAGACTTGGTGAAGTAACAAAAAAAAAAAAATTTTTTTAGAAAATAGGTGTTCATTCTTTTTAAAGAAAGAAGAACAACGATGTACATTTGCTAGCTACTATCATACTCGCGTGGGGAAATCAGCCGAACAAACATGTGCGTTGGTTTGGTTACTCGTTCGTATTTTTTCTCTTCTACTGAACACATGTTTATACTATAGAAGGATCTACCCAGAAATAAAACAACTTTTCCCTTCGAATTAGCAATCTGATCTAAGAAAGTGGCTCTCTTTTTCTAACTTAGAGCCCCATGTTCCTTCCAAACAAATGCTTCTATTAAAATCGTCTTTTTGACAATTCGAAACAATACGTAGTCTGATTTTAACTGATGTTGTTCAAATCTCATTTCCTTGAGGAAATGTCATAGTTGCACGTATCAAGCTGTTTGTAACCATCTGTTCACCAAACAAGAAGTTAACTCCATTCTGTTTTTGACGTTTTGTATTATGCTGATACTTCAACATTTATTATTTTATTGTGGTAATGGAGAACCAAACAATTTGAGAAGAGCTATATGACATTTGCTGAAGTTGAAAATTTTATCTAAAATCTGGAGAACACTTCAAGAATGATAGATATCTGTTTTCTGAAAAAAATCTTGTTACTAACAAAGTAGTACATGTTGTTACTTTGCTATTTTGTTATTTGTTACTGGTAACACTAACAGTAATGAGCAACCCCTATTCCTACCTTCCTCACTTAAATTTAATACTATTAAAGAATTTGTCGACTAAACCAATCGTATATTTAATAGTATATAAAAGCTTAGAAAAGTAGTTCTAATAAAATTACGCTATCGAATAGAATTTTATATTCCATGTTGTCTGAGTATATTGGACATTCCCATTTCCTGAAAATTCAAAATTTTCACATTGTATGTATATAAACTTTTTTCGAAAACTATTTGTTTGCAAAGGGATACATTAGATAAAGTATTGTTACTTAGTTTTAGGATATGGTACGGTAAGGGTGATATACTGTTCATATAAATATATATATCCTTACCATCACCTAACACTCTTAGGTAGGTAAGGTGAGGCAAGGTCGGGAAAGCCTTTGGTTAGGTAAGGTCAGGAAATTCAAAAGTTTCACATTGTATACAAACCTCACATCAGGTATCTACCTTCAGCATGAGACTGTATGGTAGCCAGCGGATTTGAATTATACATACTATAAAGTGTCTTGACCTTGCCTACAATGTGAGGTAAGGTGAGGAAATTCATTTAGATTTCCTGACCTTACCTTGCCTCACCTTAGAGTGTTAGGTAATGTGGGGAAAGTCACTTGGATTTCCTGAGCTTACTTCACATTACCTAATCTATACACAGTATACAGTTGTATACATACAAAACAGTTTATTTTTAACACATTAAGATGAAGTAAATTATCAGTTTTTTAAACAAAAAAACCAGCGTTGTCCTAGTAAGACTCTACTTCGTAGTGTGAAATTAAACACTATCTAGGTGTTTAATTTGTCGATGTACACGAGAAAAGAACTTACACAAAAACTATGGTTATTTTATCTCAAAACAACTTTATAATTAACATATTTCAGAAAAGAAACGAAGATGATCAGAGTTAATTGATTCCAGAAATGGTTGCTCTATTCAATAACGTTGTTTGCAGAAAATTTTCAACCAAACTCAAAAATTTGTGTTGACTCAAAATTTGATTTTTCTAAAGTTCCAGTTTTTAACAAACAACGAAACTCTAATAAAAAACTCGTTCAGCTGCTTAAATCACTTATCGGATTTTGTGTAGTTATCATGAACAAGGAAAAATCAAAAATAGAGATTATTGAAAAATTTTGAGACTCATTGTACAGATTAAACATACCATGTATCATCAACAACCACTACTAATGATCGCAATTCTACTAGCCTTTCTTCTACTCATCTTTGAGTAAATTGCTTTCATTGTATAGTAGCGTTGTACTTTTTACATACTCAAAGATAGCCTTTGTTGATCCAAAACGACCTTTTTGAGGTATGACTGACTTATTTTTGAACCACTAATCGTCAATCTTAGTGCAGCGCATATATTTAGATTCTTTCGATCAAATAGCATCCAGATACATGTCTTGAAAATTTTAAAATCATTCTATCTCATCGAAAGCTTGTTATCCCGAAATTTTCAGTTTTAGTCTGGATAATTTTAGCTAAAATGGTAGATTTGTGATGTAATTATCTTCCAGCATTTTAGATTAATTAAAATTAAAATTCGATTTTATAAATTTCCAAATAATGAGTTGTTCGTGGACTTAGTGGATAATAATAGAGATTCTCAAGAAAGTTAGAGAAACAACAATGGAGGAGAATAATAAAGTCAGTCCACCGAATAGATAGAAATCCATTAGTATTAGTTGTCTGATGGATGAATGTCTGCTTTTTCTGAAAATATTCTTAATTCAGTCAACATAGGAATAGAAACGAGATGTGTATGATCAAGGATTATCCTGAAAGATGAACGTAGCTTAGGCAAAAGATCTGCCTGTAATAACTTCTATATTCTATTTTGTTCGAGTTTCAACGAGACACACGTAAGTACCATGTGTAGAATTTTCACTCCATCCCTAGAGATTAAATGAAATCAAATATGTGGAAATATATGCAATCGTACATGTTGTATCCGAGCAAATTTTATTCAAAGTTATCCCTTAAGATACAATAAAAATTAATATTTGCTTGTTCACGATGATAAGAAAATCTTTTTTTTTTCAATTTCTACTGTAAAATATCATCGACAGTTGTTGACATTCTTTTTCTGACACTAGTTGATTGTAAAAGTTGGAGGTGCATATTATATATAAATAGGCGAATATCATAATAAATATAGATTAAACTAAACTAAAAACAAATTTTAGAAAAAATAGTTAATTTTTAAGTTGCAAGGTAAATAAAAATCAGATAAGATATACTATTCAAAAGAGAAGAAAATTCTACATAAAACTAGTCGTATCTTATCTAAAGCTTGAGAATTTTGTCGCTTTTAAAAAAAATTTTCAGAAAATACAGAGAGTCTCACGTCATATTTTTTTTGCTGAACTGTTTCACTGGCCTATTAGCCGACTTTAACATGTTTAATGTTATTTTTTCACCTTTCTAATCATATATTGGCAATTAACGTTGAACGATGGATGAACTTCGACGAGATTTGTCAATTTTCATGATGTATATATATTTTTACAAATGAAAATAGATTTTGACCGATGATCCGTAAAAGAAAATGGAATTTTTTAATAGATAAAAAATGAACTATGCCGTTCAGTAGATATACATCAATGATCACACCAAATTATTGCAATTCAGTTTTTAAAAGAGCAACTACTTATACAAAAGACATGCAGCTGTTTTTAAAAAAACAATTAGTATTCTTGAAATTTGGATCGAATTCTTCTTCTCTGTGATTTATTCTTGTTACTTAGTTTTAATACAGAGGAAAACTATAATCAATGATCACTACATGACAAATGTTTAATGTTCAAAAATCATTTTTCCACTAGAAAATTGATTGAAACTACAATAAGAAGTAGAATATTTGAATAAAGAATTGAAGTATTACTATGTGCATCAACATCCGAAAATAATGATTTATCATTTGATTCTTTAAGTTGAATTTTACCAAGTGGATTTGAAAACAATTCTGTTAAATTCTTTTGTAAGCCAAATTCTATTTGTTGTGTCGTTCCTATAGTTACGATTTCTTTCGACAATAAACTAAAATTCATCTTCGAATCTAAAAACATATGATATATGTGTGAATGTAAAGCGAAACTCTATTTATCAAAGATTATGAAACTTACTAGTCGTACAGCCAACGGATACAAGTGGACATTGATCAATAATTGTTGAATTATATCCATTTGGTGGAATAGCAGCTAAACCACATGTTTTTTCTAACATTTGTGCTGTTATATTATCGAATTCAATTTCTTGAAAATCACTTGGCCGAAATATATGGAAAAATTTTTCAATAAAAACAAGATATTGTCGACCTACGTCCAAGTCTTGACAAAATTTTCTACCTAATAATGGTCCTAAAATCATACCAAGCAAAATATTTCAGTATAACAGTTATTTATTGAATATTACCACCAGCTTGAATAATATTGATAATTCTATCCATTGACTTTCCTTTTAAGATACAATCAACACGAAACGTAACATTGAACAAATTTGGTATATATTGTTCCATTATTTTATTCATCGGCATTCCATACACAATATATGGTGAATCTTGGATTTTTGTTTTCAATGGTATATTATCAGTGATTGTTCTATCACATCGTGGAAAAACAACGGGGAATAATGATAAAACTAACAGAATAATAACTGTCAGCATTTTCATGTCTATAAAGGCAAACATAATTAATACGATAATTAGTTAAAATATGCTTGTTTATCTTTTAACTTATCATCTATTCACCAAAATATCTTCTTAAAATAATTGATAAATTTTTTTGTTAAAATCTCTCTGGATACAACTAAATATTATTGTTGATTATTCTTTAGATCTATTAGAAGAAAATAGTATGTATTGTATCGATGATCAATGGTTTTATTACATACTTATGTGTGTATAGTCAAGAACAAGTCCAACGTTTGCCTTTGACAGTTTGACGTTTTAAATGAAATTGACTTTAACTTTCTAACCCATTTTTATGTCTACATAAGAATAATCAAGAAACTTCAGAGATCATATATAAATTGTCCGTTGATGTCCATATTGTTCTATTCTCTTTTTTTGTTGATTTTCAAAGTGTAAAATATTGATCCATGATATCTATTCTATATAGAAATGAAAAAGAATAGCCTGAATTGTTAATATCAAAATCTGTGGTTTCATAAGACAATGATGAATAATTTTTTTTTTATTCATTTGAACAGTAATTTGACCCTTTGAAAGATGAGAGAGAAAGAGATCTATAGATCAAGTTAGAGGTCAATAAAATAAAATGAATACGATTCAACATGGATCAATTGAAGTTAACAATCCAATAAACAGTTTAAAATACTTACGTTTATTATCTTATATATGAGACCGCTGATTATTCAAATACAACAACGATTTCCAATGTTTTATAGTGAAGAAAAAACTTTTTTATTGATTAAGCATAAACGAAAATAGTAATAAGATATGAACCTTCCTGTGGACCAGAATCCTGCAGGTTGCCAGTTTTTGGCAACCTATACCCCAATCTATAAAAAATTTCACAACCTAATACCAACCTAATCTATAAAGTCGGTAACCTAGTCCTAACCTAACCTATCCTATCCTGTGATTTTTTGTTTTCCACCCACAGAACGTTAGCTGACATAGTTGTCAAAGGAAACATATATGTCATTGAATTTTTGTCTTTCAAAGAATTAGGACGTGGGTGAGTCAAAATCAGAAAAAAATTTCGCTTCCTCAAAAGTAGAAAGAAATCGAAAAAAATTAAAACACAATCTGTAAGTTAACTTGATCTATAACTTTTATAACCTAATCCTAACCTAACCTATAAGATTAGATTAGGTTAGGTTTAACCTGCAGGGCTCTGCTGCGGATACCGAAATGAACCATATAATCCCATTTGTTCTATATTATATTAATCAGAAAAATATTGTCAGAGCAGCTTCGTTAGATGGAACTCCTGTCGACTATTAATTATTCCGATAACTGCGATTAATCATCGGTTTTCAATAAAAACCAACGACATTTCTCTGAGCAAAAAAGATAATAATTATAGGCCTCGAAGCAGTTTTAGGGTCATAACTGTAAACCTTGTACAGTTTCAAGACCATAACGAAAGATACTATGTATTCTTAAGATAATAACCAGAGGCTGTTAAATTGTAAATAAGGCCCTGAATAATTTGAAGATCATGATACATAACAAGAACGATTTTAAGATTTTACATAAAAGCTCTAAGGTTATAACTGGGCTCCATTAGACAAACTTGCAATCATGATCACTGCCATTATTTATTTAGTTAAGATCACAATTACAAGAGGGAGGTAAAAAACAACAAAACGCTAGGGTTTTGAGTATAAAACTTATACTCCTCCTTCGCTTGGAAACTATTCGAAGGAGTTCCATAAAAGTTCTAACTACTACAAATATACTAGGCATACATCGGTTTTGGTTTTTAACCGATATAACCGAAATCGATCATAACCGATGACGGATATAACAGGAAAAACTTTTTTATTTCCACATTAAAAATGTTCGGTTGCGAGCCGTTCGGTGACCGAACTATCGGATTAGTGCATGCCTAATCGAAGTGGATTATATCATCATTAAGACTTTTTTTGTCAGTTTAACGTAAGAGTTAATTTCTGATAATTGGAAAAAGAGGAGCCCGTAATCATCTCAAATTTAACTTTTAAATATGTGATTTTGTTATGACAATTCAATCTGAAACCCAAAATTGGACTTTGCGCTCAGCATGAGATTTCGTGGAATATACCGTCTAGAGAAGGAAAACATATTTGCAGAATCCTGTATTGTTCGATGTAGCATTTTATGCTGACTAACACTCCGTTGTCTATTCTGAATAGGAACGCATCGTGGCTCAGTGGCTGATCACATACGACAATTAGGTTTAATGGAAAGATTAATAAAAGTCGATTTTTTCGTTTGTTATATTTCCACGAGGATTTGCATATAGTTTCTGATTGAACCGACGCTACTAAACGCTAAATCGAATCATCTGATTTTTGTTTAACGTCTTCAATACAGAGATGAAAATTGACCTTTATCCAGAGTCATTTGATCTTCGGAATAAGTAAGAAAAACGAAAAACTTTTGACACTCGTATTCTTGTAGAGCATTGTTTACTGAAAAGCATAAATCTCAATCAAGAAATCATATCATTGGAAAAAAAATAAAGTTGATTTTGAGTTGCTGAAAAGTGCCTTTTCGTATTCTTCACACTCGATAACCCAGAAGATTTTCTATTTTTGGCGAGGAGTACTTCCAAAAGCCTCGGAAAAATGTTAAAATTAATATTATTTTCTCATAGAAATTATTTTGCGCCATTTTGTTTCAAAATTTTAAAACCGAGAACAACAAATTTTTCCAAATATTATCTGATCGAGATATTTGAGAGTAATGCTTGATTAAAATTCTGATTTGACTTTGACTCTTTAAACAAGATCTCATTAGGCTTAATCTTTGCTGTTTACATCATGCCAGGTGAAAATGACATATTCAAAAGTAAAATTTGAGCTAATTCACAGACTAACCTGCTTAAAGCTAGAAGAAATTCAGTTTTTTCACCACGTTTATTCAGTATTGGATTCAATCACGTCTTTGCATGGTTATAAAACACGAGATAAATATCGTTATCGACAATGTCGAATTAAAGGATATGAAGAAAGTGATCGGTCTATCATTACTTTGAATGTCAGCGGCTCACATTTTATGATATTGTACTCTACTTTAATCAGATATTCTAGATCAAAATTAGTTAATGTGCTTAAAAACCCAACAGAATTGTGGACACGAGATGAACATGGACACTACTTTTTCGATCGAGATCCATGTTTGTTTCGATATATTCTTTAGAATTAATGACTTCAAAAATCAACTTCTTGAAGAAGCAGATTATTTCGAATTACTAGAATTAAGAAAAGTTATTTTACGTACACAACAAAACAATCAAGAGGTCCCAGTGGCAAACTTACTTGATAGTAATCTAAAAATATATATTGTTCTAAAAATGTGCTTTTTTCTCTTAGCATCTGTGTATCACTTTTGTTCATTCTTTCCACAACTATGTAACTTTATCAAAATTTCCTCGTAAACATACAGAGTAAAATGTTTTTTCTTCAATCATCTATGCTTTAATATAGTTTCAGTACGCACTTGCGCTTGGGCATGGAAGTAACGAAAAACGCCGTGCGCGCCCGTAGAAAAAAAGATGGCGCTAGTAAATGTTATACACATCATACGTATACTATTTAGCCTATTTGCTCAGTCTTCCTAAATATTTTCTTTTTATAAATAGTCTATTTTCTTTTACCTTTATATTTCTTTAAGTGCTTTTTTATGATGACTAATCCATAACAACAATCTAACACCGTGGTGAGCTGTTGGTGGTTTTATGAGCAATTCTGATTTGTTTATTTCGCCTGTTAGTTGCTTGTGCTTGTCTGTTTGTTTCGTTTAATTTTGCCGATTGTAAATGAATTTACATTGAAGATTTGTCATTGTTACAAAAGAACTCTGACAAAGTTTTTAACTTCTTTGCTTACTTTCTCTCTAATTTTAGATCAAATTATCTAGATTTCCGTCCTGATCAAAAAAGAAGAATGGCTATGCGTGTACCAAAAGCACCGGGCTTTGCCTCGATGATGAAAGAAGGAGCAAAGTATATGCACGGTAATTATTATTTTGATGAATTATATTTCCATCAAACAATAGAGAAAATATTCCCGTTGTTTAGGTCTTGATGAAGCCGTTTATCGTAATATAAATGCTTGTAAAGAATTATGCGAAACAACATCGAGTAGTTTTGGTCCAAATGGTTTAAATAAAATGGTTATTAATCATATTGAAAAATTATTTGTCACTAATGATGCTGCATCCATCTTACGTGAAATAGATGTTGTTCATCCAGCCGCTAAAATTCTCATGTTAGCGAGTGAAATGCAAGAAAAAGAAGTGGGTGACGGTACAAATTATGTCATTCTATTTGCCAGTAAATTGTTAGAGAATGCTGAAGATCTATTACGTATGGGTTTATCACAGAGTGAAATTATTGACGGTTATCTGTTAGCAATGTCAAAAGCATTAGAAATACTCCCAAAATTAGAATTAGATGTGGGTATTAAATTAACAAAAGATAATTTGAATGAACATGATGCACTAATATCAAAAATATTACAAACAGCGATTAGTAGTAAATTATTCGGTTATCATGAGTTTTTAGGCGAATTAGTCACGCGTGCCTGTTTAGTGGTATCTAATGATGGTACGCATAGTTTTAATGTCGACAATGTTCGTGTATGCAAAATATTAGGTGGTGGTTTATTACAATCATCGATGGTATCCGGTATGGTTCTCAAGCGTGAAATTGATAGTGAAGTAACAAAGGTACAACAAGCGAAGATAGCTGTTTATAGTTGTCCAATTGATATACAAGTAACGGAAACAAAAGGGACTGTGCTGTTGAAATCAGCTGATGAATTATTGTCATTTTCAAAAGATGAAGAAACAGGAATTGAATCACAAATAAAAGCGATACATGATTCTGGTATTAATGTTATTGTCAGCGGTGGTAAAATAGGTAAACTGTTTTTGTATTACATTTATCTTGTTTTAGTTCACTTTACATTCTCCATTTTAGGTGAAATGGCATTACATTTCTTAAATAAATATCAAATCATGGCCGTACGTTTAATGTCAAAATTTGATTTACGTCGTGTAGCAAAAACAATCGATGCTGTGGTTTTACCTAAATTGCGTACTCCAACCCATGAAGAAATTGGTTATTGTGATAATATTTATCTAGATGAAATCGGTGATACATCAATAGTTGTATTTAAACATCAAAAGTCAACGATATCAACTATTATACTTCGTGGGTCAACTGAACAAATTCTTGATGATTGTGAACGCGCTTTAGATGATGCCGTTAATAATTTTAAAGCATTAACTAAAGAGCAAGCTTTGTTACCTGGCGGTGGTGCAGCAGAAATTGAATTGGCACAACAACTGACAACGTATGCACAAACATGTCCCGGTATTGAACAGTATGCTATTAAACGTTATGCTGAAACATTTGATTGTATACCAAAAATATTGGCAGAAAATTCTGGATGCAAAAGTACAGAAATATTGGCTAAATTATATGTTGGCCATCAAGATAATAAAAATCTTGGATTTTTAATCGGAAGCAATCAAGCAATAACAAAAGAACGAACAACACAACCAATTGATATAACATGCGAGACAAGTGATATGAAACTGAATGCATTATATGATTTGTATATCACAAAAAAATGGGCATTATTATTTGCAACAAAAGCAGCGTGTACTGTTTTAAGTGTCGATGAAATTATTTGTGCTAAGCCAGCAGGTGGTCCAAAACCAAAAGAGAATAAGGGATGGGATAACGATGATTAACAAAACATACAAGAACAAAACAAATTAACACTCTTTTAGACATATTTTTGTGTTTTTTGTTTAATAAAAAATTCAAAGAATTTATTAGGTGCTCTTACCTGTGGAACTTGAAGAATACTTATTTGTGCGCGCGACTATCGAAAAAGTTGAAGGTGGTTCTTTTTTACTATTTGACACAACAGATGCCATTCTTAAATATCTTTTCTTTCTTGACTACTTTAGTAACCAACACAAAAATTTGAGTATCAGTTTGTCGTTAAAAACGGCACTTCTACGAAGACATTTCGCAACTATACAGCAAAGAAGTCTTTCTTTATTCAAATATCGAGCATTAACTTCTTTTAGCTCCTGTTTGTACATTTATGTGCAGGCGAAATCAAAGAGAGTGACTTACCCTTTTTTGCTATGTTTAATGTCTATGAAATAAATCGTTTGTGCTCCTTGACGACAGTGCTTTTTTGCTTTGTATCAACCGTTTGTTATTGGTTTTTTATTAAAAGCGTTTTAGATAAAAACAAAAAAATTTCTGTGGTGATGCAACTAGTAACTTCTTTCTCAGCGCATTGAGCAAAATTTTTAATGACTTTTTTGTGTTGGATGACGTTGAAAAATTAGCTACTATACGGTACAATCGCATATACAGCGTGATCCAAAAAAAACTTACCTCCTGTGTATTTATTGACTTTCTTGTGTACAAATATAATTGAACCTTTTATCATTAGTTTATTCAAATAGAGCAAAGATTTTTGGACAAAATGAGACGTCTCCGAGCTCTCTAAGAACTTTTTTCATGAAACAGCATTGAATTTACGGAAGGTCCCAAGAGCATATTTTTCTTGTTTGCCCATTAATTGTCCCGATTTTGGTGGTATGGGACCTTCCGTAAATTGAATGCTGTTTCATGAGAAAAGCTCTTCGAGAGCTCGGAGACGTCTCATTTCGTC